TCACAAATGAGAAGAGAATAGCATGCCAATTAATCTTCATCTAACACCCACAGTGCCTTGCAAACATCCCAGCATTACTGGTGCTTCCACTGGTGTCTGCTCACTCTCATTTATCTTCAATGCTCTCACATCGGCTGTCACACAGGCCCGGATAGAGGAAGCCCACGCTTTTAGCAGGAGCTGAAATAAAAACAGTGGTACGGTTTTATAACCGGACTCCCTAATAGTCTTCTCCATGAGTGCGCACAGTGCTGAATCAGTCTAAATATTGCCTGGGGTGTGCACAGTCCCCCCCCCCCCCCCCACTCCTTACTACATTATGAAGATATAATGGTAAAAGGAGCGACAAAATTGCCATTTTGTTCCTCACTCTAATTGCAGATTAAAGACAAAAAGTGGGTCCAGCGTGGCGCGATGGCACCACTTTGTCACTCGTCTTTCTGAAGAATGGATCCACTATTAGCTTCACGCCGTGGCCTTCAGAGCAAACAACTGTTTGAAGGCAGCGGGAGGCTGTTGCCATATGGCACGAGACAGTGACAAAATTGAGTAAACTGAGGAGATTTGCGAAAACAAAGCAGCGGGGGAGCATCATTAGACAGCAGTTGTCCGTGAGAGAGGCTTCAATTCAAATAGGGAAGGGGGTCACGCAGAGAGAAACAAAGTGAGAGAAGCAGTGTGAGGGTTGCCATAGTTAATTTTTACACCACTCACTCCCCTCCAGCTACAGAACAACGGCAGGCATCAAATAGGACTACTGCTGCAGGACTCCAGCTGTTTGTTGTTCCAAAGCATATGTGACAATATGAGATACCTCAACACGGTGCATGGAAAACATCTTTATGATAAATTGATGTCTCCAAATCACTGAGTGAAACTGAATTTCCCACCAAAATTAAAGTTTTGCAGCTTTAGTTTACTGGACAGACCAGTTAGAATAAAAGCCCTTAATTCAAATAAGAGTTTTTATTTCAAGACAAACAAGGCTTTGTTATGTTGCACTTTTTTGCTTGTTTGTTGATTTCTGATGAACAAAAATCAACTGTGTCTTATTCAAAATTTGAAAGCTGAGTTAAACTTCTAAATGATAACTTAAATAATAAACTAAATGGATCAGGTTTTTATCGTAGAGTTTTGAGGACGACCGATATTGGTCTTTCTATTGCTGATAAAATCATTATTAGAGCACTTATTTTGTAGGTGTTATTCAGGAGCCTAAATCACAGACAAATACGTAGACGTTCCGTGGACGGGCACTGCCCTTTGGAGCTGTCGTAGCAGTAAGCCACCATCTTGGATGGTTCTGCATTCACCCCCAGTGCATTTCTTCCTACTGAGGAAGATGTTTACCAAACTCAAAGCACATTTTATTATGCTTTTTCACAAAATTTGCCATACAGTATGGCACGATATTTAAAAAACAGATAAACTAAATAAATTTAAATCCATCTATCAATCCATTTTCTTCTGCTCATCTGGAGTCGGGTTATGGGGGCAGCAGCCTAAGTCGAGAAGAACAGACTTCCTTCTCCCCAGCCACTTTGGCCAGCTCCTCTTGGGGAATCCCAAGGCATTCCCTGGCCAGGTGAGAGACATAGTCCCTCCACCGTGTCCTGGGTCTTCCTTTAGGCCTCCTCCCGGTTGGACGTGCCCGGAAAATCTCACCAGGGAGGTGTCCAGGAGGCATCCTGACCAGATGCCCGAGCCACCTCAACTGGCTCCTCTTGATGTGGAGGAGCAGCGGATCTACTCCGAGCCCCTCCCGGATGACCGAGCTTCTCACCCTATCTTTAAGGGAGAGGCCCAGCCACCTTGTGGAGAAAACTCATTTCCCAACAGGTAGCCTCGAAAAGTCAATAGTAATCCTACGTGACTTGTTTATAATAGTATGCTACTTGTTGCAAAAGTAGGATGCACAAAATCAGGCATAGCTGCTCACTCTGTGTTGTCTCCAGTTGGGTTTGAAGAGTCCCAATATGGTGGCAACGCTGTTAGGCTCTCTGACGCCCAGACAGAACCAGGCTGTCTGATGATGTGCGTAACTTTTTAATCGGTCAACGCCAAAATGTAGAAAAAGTCAAATATCGCCCTGGCAGCTGCCACAGAGTCATAATGATTTGAGCGTGTCGCTACACAGAAGTTAAATCATCTTGGTCTGGAAGTTTGTTGGTGCACTTTATCAGCCACAAACAGACTACTGAACAATTTAAGTCTCCATTTCTGGGGTTCAGAGTCGGCAAATAGCTGAAAAATTTGGCGCTAAGAGGAGTGTCTTCAGTTTGTCCGAGACTGAGGAGAGTAACGCTGCAGATGCAGATACTAGCATGGATGCTAATGACTGTAAACAGAAAGGAAGGGGGTGTAGTGATCTGTAGTTTGTATATTTATACACTGTAATTAGATCTAAACATTATAATCAGAAGTGGTTGTTTTTATCATCAGGGAGTTTACTTAAACACTCTGTATTGACTGAGAGACAAGAAATCTGAGAGAGAGTTGGGATCGTTTAAGAATCTTTAATTTCTATAATTAAGAATTCTTACAATCTACCAGGACTATCTCAATGATGAATGCATATGGATTTGGATGTTTCGTGTTGGTGTGTGTGTGTGTGTGTGTGTGTCCAGAATCTCTAGGCTGACGTAGCGAATCTGGTTGTTATGACTAGGCTACCACGAGGCTTCAGAAGCTGATGACATGAGCAGCCATTTTGCCGTAACTACGTACCATGTGGAGCCTCCCGTGTAGATCAGGAAATGCCAGGTCCTCGGACCTTCAGGTGTACTGGAGCTGGTGAAACAGCGGTCGCAGCACTACAAAGCCCGTCTGAGGGTCGACTCCGGTAGCAGCGGCAGGCGTCAGCGAGTTCAGCTCTTATTTTGAAGGGACGTCGTCTTGTTGTTCAAACGACGGAAATCTCCAGCTTGACAGTTCTCAGCTTAAAGTAGAAAGTGCATCTGGCCAGGCTGCACCTCTCTTTTGCGGTGATGGATCGAGAGCTGGTTGAAAACTACGTTGAGAGTATGATGTAACTCCTTTGGAACTCAGATCGAACAGAGCTGAGGTTAAAATGGAACTGAGTATAAAATGGCGTTGCCTTGTTTTATATCCCCTAGTTGTTTACAAATCTTAGTAAACCAGATTGGACAACTTCATTAAACAACCCAGATTCTGCCCTACGACAGACGAAAGTTCTGATTGGTTGAGAACAATGTGTCATGCGTTTCCATGTTATTGTAGATCAGTCTGTCTGGTGCAGTCCTGTTTATTCATTAAACACATAACTCATGACATCTTTATTTCACAGATCATTCACCTGATTATTATTGATCAATATATACTTTGATTAGCTTTATCACGAATAAAGTACTTTGATTAATTAATGGAAAGCGTTCTTCTTCTCTTCTTCTGTCTCTTCTCCTGGAATGTAAACATACTGAACCCAGCTTCCGACCTTGGTGATTCCTACACGTTGTTACTGTGTGAAGAGGCAGCTGTTAAGGGCAGACAATAGGATCTTAATAACGCTACAGGGGCGTTTCTGTTGACGCGCTAAAACCGCGTAGCACTATGGGATTTAAAGTATTTGTGGCAAAATCGGCCGACAGGCCAGTTTTAATATATTTATTTTTGATACTTGAGTTCGCAGGCCAAATGAAAATAGATCGCAGTTTGTCACCTGTCAAGTAGAGAATCTGACAGACAGGTCTTGTGCAAAAAATTACTGAATGGAATGAAAAAAAAGACACTTTGCATGTTTGAAACTATGCATTTTTGCAGCAAGTCAATTTTCACATACCAAAATGTTAAGTTCAGTGGAAAATGTGTATATTGCAGTCGTGTTTCATATAAGATACCAGCTTTATTATCATTCTGGGATGAAGATGACCTCCCAAACCTGAAGAAAATAAAATAAAGCTTGTTTGTTGGCATTCAAGTGCAACTTTAAAGAAAGAAACTTACAAATAGGAAAAAATAAATGGTTTTATACTAGGCCTAAAATAAATATAACAAATGAGAAATTTGAACAAATAATCTTTTTAAAATAACAAATGTCTAACAATAGTGTTACTCTTAAGTATTTTAGCATCCTAGATTCTTGTTTTTTAAACTATTAGTTTACGAAGGGGCATAAGTGAATTCATATGGATAGCGTTTTCCTCTTAGATACAAGATGCTCTAATTAAGTAACAGAAAACTTCTAGTTACCATGAATTTATGTACAAAACATTAAAGGACCTCAGGTCATCTATCGACTGGATGAACTTGCATTACTGTCAATATTTCAAACCAAATATCCAACATTTCCATGACTAAAAGCATGATGTCTAAAAAAATCAATGAAAGATTTCCTTGTACCAGAATGTGGGGAGACACTGAACCAATCAATGGAGAGGATTGTCTGGGAGTCTTGAGTCAAAACAGCAAATGTTTGTGAGCCATTGTTTGGTGTTTTGAATAAAAAGGCTTAAGTATTGCACGTGGATTGACCCAAACCCCAAACAGACAAATGGTCTTTGATTCTGTACTTTAGCTTGTTGCACATCAGCTTTCACAAAAGAATAGTCTTTTGCTAAAGGTATTTGTGTGCAGGCCTGAATGTGTGTTTAGTCCGAATACAAAGGTGTAATGATGTTTGATCGGGGCAGAGTGCTGGTAGACTGGAAGCTTGAAGTAGGTCAATAAAAGCAGGTTGACTACTTTTATACTTCTACCCTAAATTGCTAAAAGCTCATTTTAAATCATCAGCAGCACTGATGTATTTGGGTTAGTGTCACACCTTTCCTCATTCTCAAGGATTCATCTTTTTTTTTTTTTTTGCTTGAGAAAGCATCTGGTACCTAATAAAACCTAATGTGACCAGAGCCTAAGGAACATTAGCACAGCTATCTCATTACATCTATGAGTCACTGCTGCCCGCTTCATATCTGATCAGTTTAAGGACCCACGCTCTTCCTTTGTCTGATTGTTTGTTTTCATGTTCTCCCCCTTCTATGAAGAAAATTGGCCAAGAAGCGAAAGGAGACGCTGAACAGCACCCGCCAGGAGATGACGGTGATGGTCAACTCCATGGACAAGAGCTACACGGAGCAGGGGACCAACTGTGACGAGGCGCTGTCTTTCATGGACACGCACAACCACACGCTGAACACCCGCAGCGAGTGCACGCTCACGCTCAACGGGCGCAGCGAGTGCACGCTCACGCTCAACGGGCGCAGCGAGTGCACTCTCACCGTCAACGGCAGAGGTAAGAGACAAACACCAGGCAGGATGGAGCCAATTTTTCTGATTTGGCCTTGTACGGAAGCTGATAATGACCATTTGGACAATAATCATTATTTTGACCTGGTTTTCTCCTGATCATTTTGTTATCTTGCGATAACGAGCTGGGTTAATCTTTTTGGGTGAAGTCAGCCCCATGATTACAAGAAAACAATTAGTCGAGTACCCAGTTTCATCGATCAGCATCACTGTCACGAAGCTTTAGGTCCATCTTATCCAGTGGGAACCAGATGAAGGTCCGTGATCTCCAGAAACATTGAAATGAGGGTTTCCAAAGACCCACATTTTAGCTTTGATTGTGGAAAATCATAAAAACAAGCACCATTAAGTTGATATAAGTAGCTATATCTGAGTTTATGTTGTTCCTACACAACGTTTGTACAACTCAACCAGCCATGGCCAGGGTTAGAAGTCCTTACTGTTATTGTTTTTTGGGGTCAGAAGCTTCAAGTCTTGCATCTTCTCTAAATGTTCCATCATTCTCATCCTGGTTGCTGATCAACAAAAGCCTTTGGACTTTATCAAGATTTTAGGGTAAAGAAATATTTTTTACTTAAAAAAAAAACGAAATAAAACAAATTATGTAAATATGAAACTTTCAATAATGGAAACATTTTCTGGGCCTCTGCACTTTTACTGTTAAACAGTTGATCTAGAAATGTCCTAAAGTATCTTCTAAAATGTTTAGACTTTGTTTTAGTTCTAAAAAAGAAGTGTTTTCCTTTGTAATAATGTAAAAATGTTATTAATTATAATATAAAATAACACATACTAGTGATGTGTAAACTTTTTAAAAATTAAATTGATTTTTTATCATATTTTTTCAGCCTTCTTGTTTAAAGCTAAATCTGGAATGACAAAATTCCCCAAAAAGGTAAAAAGAAAAGGATAAAATGGAACTAGAGAGAACTTAAATTATCTTCTCATTAATATTAATTTTTCTTTTAATTTTACATCAGTTATGTGAATTCATTAGTGCTGACACCTATTTTATGAAGAACTACAGCACAACTTTTGTTTTTGATCATTTATTTTATTCTGAAACTTCAACAAGTCAAAATGTACTGTGAAAGAAAATGTAAAATGTGTACTTTGAAAATAACTAATGAAATCAAGCACAATGGTAACAACTTTGAAAAGATAAGATGTTATTCATATGTCTGCCCCATGTACTCTCAAGGGTACACACACACACACACACACACACACACACACACACACACACATACTCTTAACATGGAATCCCTTTTAAAGTTCTTTAAGTTGTCAAAGTAATTTCTAATCTAAATCTGCAATCCTCTAATTAAACCAAATGAATTGTTCTGTCGGCTGTGTGCCCGTGGACGTTGTGCTAAAGCTTGTTAACGGTCTGAAGGGACCGGATCAATAATCAAGACATCCTGAAATCCCAAATCAGACCACAAAGCTTATCAGTAAACATTAAAAGCACAAAACGTCTGTCTCGAGGTCGTAAACTCAGCGCCACGCTGTGAACAAGCCATTTAGGAAACAAACAACGTATTTGATTTGCTCTCTTCCTGCAAATCTATTAATTTCTCTGTCCCGAGTCCAACTCAATACTTTGTTGATAGACAGCTGAGTTAAGTCGGCACCCAGGGCTTGACCTGCTGTAATCCCTGGCAAAACCATCAGATTAAAAATCCACAGCAGCCTCTGTGTCTGCACCCCTCCAGGAGCTGAGCCCCAAAGATGCTCTGACCTTGATTAACTGTCTGTTAGTGTCGATGTTCAAATCTGGCCCTCACTCCGCCTGCGCCAACCATTTAAATGCATCATTTTCCAGCTCCGCCTGTCACAGTGAAGCCCTCTCACTCTTTCTGACCTCACATTACTGTCAGGAGTGTCACTCTGGCTCAAAACATCATGGATGACAGATTATCTTCTCAAATATACTGCCCTCATTACCCAAAGCCTGCTTGGATTGGTACTGGTGTTGACACCGGACGATGAGACGATGACAATCTGAGAACTACTTTACAGTAACCTGAGTTCCTACACGACCCATGCTGCATACATCACTTTCACATTGTCCTGTAATGCAACTACAAGCACTTTTTGGACTTTTGGACACATTTTAGAAGAAAAATCATTCAGCATAGGTCAACATGATGTAGTTGACATACTTTTATTTACTATTTATTGGTGAATTAGTGAAATCTAGGAACAAATCACTGTTGTCTATAAATGCTATTAGCTGAAATTTAAGACGAGTTTTCATTTTTATGTTAAAAGACGGACAAGCCCTAAAGATTTATCAATCAAACTGATAGTGTGGAAAAAGAATAAATAAATTATTTCCCCATGAGTCCTTGCATCAAGGGCTCCAGGAATCTAGCTTATATATATACATATATATATATACACATATATATATATATATAGTATATATATATATATATATATATATATATATATATATATATATATATATATATATATATATATATATATATATATGTATATATATAAGCTAGATACTATATATATATATATATATATATATATATATATATATATATATAAATATATATATATATATATGTATGTATGTATGTATTCCAACAATTACATATTAGTCAACTCCCATTAATGTAAACAAATATTACTTAGATAAAATAAAATTCAATTAAAATATTGACTAAGAAAAGAAAAAAACTAAACATTTTAAAATTTTAAGTCAAAATAAAGTGTCTCTGAATAATAAAAACTAGCTAAGATGAAGAGAATAAAATATTATAGTGCAAGAAGCCACTGTCCTCATAAGTGTACGCAGGATCACGGAAGGTTAAGTTAGTTTATCCTGCTATTACTGACAACATATTGTTAGTAAATGCAACATTTTTGGGTTAGCTACCAGTAAATGGAGCCACAGCCTCCATATCATTGGTTTTATTGTGTTTAACAGAATGCAAAAATTCTGCTCAATTCGTCAAATTTATGTCTGGTTTTTAATGTCAATAAAACCATTAATTATTATAAACATACAAAATCACAACAATGCCAAAATACAACTGGCATTTATGTCCTGTAGTACATAGATATTCCTCAAGGAGGTAGAAGACTAGTCAAGGGTTAAAAAGAGTTAGATGAATGTACTAATCCTGTTAAACAGATCTAAGAAACGTAGGAATGTGTTTAGCTAAAAAGGCTGAGATAATTCTAGATTATCTTAGCTTAACAAACCAGTTTTTTTCTGTATTTGATAAAAATATTTTGTGAATTTAATTAGATAATCATTACAGTTCACTTCACAGATTTAGTTTTAGTCAACATCTTCAAACTTAAAAGACAGACGCGTGTCTGTTAAAAAAAAGAGTTATTTTAAAGAAACCCAAAAAAATATTCTTTTATATGGAAAACATAGAAGGAATGCCGCATGCATGCATGCTACATCAGTCCAAGGTGGAGATGCTCAATGATAACATCAAGGCTTTGTGTTATAATAATAAAAAATAAATAATAATAAACTAAATAATGTTGCTCCCTTTGAGCAGCAAACAGAAGAAGGCAACAAGTCCCTGGAAGATTTGAATGTCTGCATTGTGACTTCCTTTTGCCTTGCAGAAAATGAAAAATGATGTAGCTTAATATGTGCAGGAAAGAAAGTAAAAACAAATAAAAAATATAAATGAATCTTCAGAAAAGTGTCAGATCAGCTGAGTTGTCCGATGTTTGCTCAGATCTCACAGATGCACGTGTTTGTGGGCAAATGTAGGAGAGTTAGTTCAAGGTCTGGGATGAATGTAAGCAAGACAATGAGAAGCTTTTTAATAGCAGGTAAGTGAGATCATTTCAGATCTTTTGCAGTCAAGGGTTTGTTTACTTCTCTTGTTTTTTTCCTGCAGTGCATTTTTAGATAACTATTGCTTTTTTGTGTGTTCTCTTTCTCTCCCTTAAGCTGCATCGTCTCCCTCGTCTTTTACGCTCCCAAAAGGCAACACCCTGGCTTCCTCCCTCCCCACCAACTCATACTACCCAGGTAATCACACTCCTTTCGTTCCTAATTTTGCAGAAGTGAAATGCTTCTCTTGCAGTTCCAAAGGTGAAGTTGACGAACTCGGATAACATGAAACAAGGAAAGTTAGGTGCCACATCAGATTAATGCCAGACAATGCTTTCGGACCAGTTTTAGTGAGTTTCACAGCCTCTTTCTCGTGTAAGTTACAAGCTAATGGTGTAACATTTGCTCAACGTGTTTAAAATGTGTTTTAACATAGTTTATTTCAATGAGGCAGATAAATGAACCTCTGATGAATCTGCCAGTGAGATGGGTTTTAGCGGTTCGGTTACGACTTCAAATAATATCCATGATTGTGTGTCTTACGTAAATTCTTCACGGCTCATTGATTAGATGAAGTAAAGGCCAACTAGATTTATAACCAGCTCAACTCACTGTTTAATTAGCTTTTCCTTTCTGGTGTTGTTTGGCAGAGAACCAAAAAAATTTCTTTTACTGATGTATTATTTATTTATTTATTTTTGGTGCATTCTCTTTTCTTTATTTACACCCTCTCTCTCTCTCCTTCAACTTCTGCACCTGTTTGGGGTTTTTTGGGCAGATCCCTTTGTGCCGACTGCTATCTTAGGTGAGAAACGCTTTATTTTTACTCATTTCTGTTTTTATTGCTTATATTTGACAAAATAAAAATGTGTCACATTAATCTGATGGTTTATTACTCATTCCAAAGGGAAAACATATTTAATTTGAATTTGGATGACTTTAATATCATTATTCCTATTAAAAATGACTTCCTCACCTTCATACCTGCCTGCTGCTTCCTCCACCCCACCTCCACCCTACCCCACCCCCATCACTAATGAGGGGCACTCCCGTGCTGAGGCTGGCTTTGCTCCATCCCATCCGCATTGCGTGTCATGCGTGTGATGTCACTTCTGTGTTTGACCTCTCATATGCATGCACAAACATGTGGACTGGATGTGGGGGGGGGCAACGGGGGGGTCGGTGTGCAGTTTACCCTCTGCAGCTACAGCGTGCTTCAGCTGCACCGGGACACAAAAAAATCCAGCAAAACGGCCGATCTGAACATCTGGAGTTTAGTGTTGGTATGTGCTGCTCTCCCCTCCCTCCCCCCACTCATCACTACACATTTACTCCCCTCCTTCCAAAACAACAACCTTTTCTATCATTCTTTTTAATGTCGCTCCCTCTCTGCCTTTGGCAAACTGCTATTGACCTACTTGTTTTCTGTTTTGGTTGTTGCCAGCGTTCATATGTCATTCAGCGATAAAATAGAATAGTGAAAAGCATTTTGTTCTCCCGTTAATTATTACTGCCCTTTGTTGAACATCCAGAACAGCTCAAAGTGCAGCAGATGCTTCTCTAGTAGCGGGGTGTTGCTTCCAAGTGGAGCAATAGAACCAAAATAATTAAACTCTCCAGAAAGACACAACAAACGAGTCTCGGCGACATCCTTGAGCACTGCGATTTCCTCGCCGGTGCAACTTAAAGAGGCGTCTTTCGTCACTGCTCCCGTGACAGCTGCTTGTGTTAGTTCCACGCTTAATGAAGGACGTCAATTTGTAGCAGCCAGGAAAGGTTTCGCACTTTGATTTATGGCCAATTCTGGTCACGACCTCGTCTCATCGGTCAAGTTCATTGGTTAAAACGGATCAGATCGCTCAGCTTTTTTCTTTTGGTCTTGCGTTACTTAAAGAAATGACTAAACAAAAGCTGCAGATGCAAGTGTTTCCACTGATATAATCATAGCAATTATGAGATTTTTAACGGTCAGAAATTTCACAAAGCTAATTGGCATTGCTAAAAAAGAAAACATGTTAATTTAAAACAATTACTGCTTGTATTTCATTTTGTTTTCTCCAGAAATCCATGACTTTCTTGTTTCTTTTATTTACTTTTGTCTTGCACTGTTTTTTAATTGCCCCATCCTTCCACTCAACATCCTCCCCCTCGCCTCGATTAGGACTTTTCCACTAAGAAGGCATGTGATCTTGCCCTATAGCGTAGCTCTAAAACTGTAACAGGTTCTCATGCTGTATTGTTGCTTACCCCCTCTCTCCTGTCTCTTCTCCTCTCTTTCTCTTCACATACGTAACCTCTTATGTATCTGCTATCTAAAAAGTGCCCATTAATGGTAAGTTGTCCCAAGTGACCCCAGGGTTGTGGGAGGGAGGCAGTGTTTCACTCAGAAAGCATGCCAACACTGGCTGCTTTCTCACATCGACTGCATGACAAGTGGACGTGTTAGCATCTCACCACCCTCCGTACCACCGAGCCACCATTAGCTTAGCATGATCAACGCACACCCATGCCCCATTGGCAGCATCACTTCATGCATTCTCCTCCCATTGTCACTTCCCTCCTGGGTTATTATTTTTTGTTATTTTTTAGGTTAAATTTGATTTAAATTCATATTTTACATATACTGAGTGGAGTTATGGGTAGCAGGGGTTGAATCCACGCTGTGTTTGTGTTGACGCTTCTGACGTCGCCTGCTGCAACATGCTCACTGTGGCCCTCTCCTCCCCTCTCGACACTCTGCTCCCCCTCTCCCTCACATCCTCCTCCATGTTTCTGGACACCCTCCATCGTTCGCTGGCTCCCCCAAAGCATCTGTGCCTCGTGTCTGCCCCTGACTCGATTACAGTATGAAAGAGCTGGAACAGAATCTGACTCTCAACACGAGCCACATCCCAAAACTAGCACGCAGCTCTGCCAGTGAAAGAAGCAAACCTGTTGTTTTACAGCATCTTTATGAGGATGTTTTTATTTATTCTGACAGCCGCTTTAATAAATACCTGTGATTTTAGGTGTGTTGCTTAAAAAAACCAGCCACACTGAGACAGATGGACCTGAACCTTCCCACTACATGACTCATCCTATTACTCAAAGATGTTGTGTTGTTGTGACCATCCATAACAAACAGATTTCTGAGGGTTGTTTGTTAATCTGGAGGGAGGTGACATAATGCTGAACAGTAAATGGGATGATGTGCCATCTGCCTGAAACAATATCTTAGAGATTTGAGTTAATAACTGCTCATCTTAAATAGAAAAAAAACAAAAATTCATAAACATTTACTGCCTGAAGCCTTATGTCACCTGATGTTTCTGACGTCGGATCAGAGTCCCTTGTCCTTAATTGCCCATGTCCCGTTTTTTCTTTTTCCCCTCCTCCTCTGCAGACGAGAGCCAGAACACGGGCAGCGACACCAGCAGCCTGGTGCAGTCGCACACCCACTCCCTGAGGAAGCGGGAGCCTGTCGACGTGCCGTACCAGACGGGTCAACTGCACCCGGCGATCCGCGTGGCCGACCTCCTCCAGCACATCACGCAGATGAAGTGCGCGGAGGGCTACGGCTTCAAGGAGGAGTACGAGGTAAGGGCCGCGGCCCTGCTGCCGCCCCCTGCAAGGGTTGTGAAAACATCTCCACCCTGGCGGTTAAACTGAAATGTTTGCCAGTCTGACTCGAGGCCTGGTGCGTGTCACAGTGTGAGCCCGTTGTCTTATTTTCTGCCCCCTTGTTTTTGTTGTTTGGCACCACAGAGCACCACTGTTTTATGGTGAATTGTTAATGTGTTCCTGTGTGTTCATCCGTTACTTATGTATGTGAGAATGTTTCTATCCATGACCTGTAGGACACTCGAGACAAACATCCATCCTGCTGGTTAAAAACAACAACCACAAAGCACCTGATGTCCCGTTCAATTGGGTCCCTCCCTCTAAAACACCTGTAATCTGACACCAAAACAAAGCATCTGGCCGCAGAAGAGCATCAGTCTTGTTTTTCTCTCATTAGTGTCGGAGGCTGGCAGGGACTTGGCGGCTCTCCAGCCTCCTCGCTGTCCCTCAACCCCCTAGCCAGCCTCTCGTCTCCCTGATGCTGCTTCATGCTGAACTTCTTTAACTCATCCCAGCAGCCTCTCTTTGCCCTCCTCATCATCGCCTTTTTTCCTCTCCCTTCCTTCTTTAACTCACACGTCTTTGTTCAGATTTCCAGCTTATTTCCCTTCATTATTTTCTGTGATTTTCTCATTCACACTTCCCTTTCCTTGTCCTCGTCTCCAGTCTCGCCTGCCGCCATAACGTGGGTAGGTCTAGCAGTGATTCTCTCCTCGTGAGCGGGGAAGGAAACGTCACGGCTTCACATTTCTACCTGAACCATTGCTGAATGAACTCAGTCCTCTGGGCTGCCCTGCAGGTCTAAATCAAGTTTGAAGTGCTGCTGCTGCATAGATTCATAAGAGCTAATTAAAGAGACATTACCACCTAAAAAATAATAAAATAGACCATTTGTGTGTTGTGTTGCCGTGCTGTCTCCTCTCCATCTCTCCTAAGGTTAATGCCCTTTTGAACCGTTGGTTTGTGATGAGATTGGAGCCTAATGCACCTCTAAACCTGTTGACTCACACTGTACTATATCTCTCTCTGACCCATGCTTCTTGTTATTCTGTACGTTAACTTTGGATCAGATAAACGAGGTAAGCTGATACTTTTGGTTACTTGCTTCTTTTTCCTGCCTTTTTTGTCCTTAAAGGGAATATTCCACTTAAAAGTAAAATTTAGTCTGTTGCCATATTCCTCAGAGTCGGATAAGTGGGGGAAAGCATTTTGTAGTCATTCTAATCTGTCAGTATTCTGTTAGCTTTAGCTTAGCGTAAGTAATGTAAGTTCGTGGCAACAGCTAGCATTTAGTGTGAAAGTCATGGAATTTACAAAATAGTAATTCTAATTTCTCTTGGTGACCTCAGTGTTCACATCGACAGCAAATGAAAACAATAGGTAACACAAAGGAATTACAGGAGCTGATTTAGACTTTGGGCTACATTACAACAAAGCATCGTAAGCTGCTGCTGCAAGGTGCAACGAAACAACACAGCAGCCTCAAAAGACACCTATTGTCTGCAAACACAACAAGAACGTATAGAAGATGTACTCGGCCATTTTTTGTGTAATTTACTTAGCTGTTCCTTCAAAAAAGCTGTACTGGGTGTAAGCCTAGTCGTACTTCGGGGAAGTACGTGTCTTTTGGGGTTGTTACGTCATGTTGTTGTACCTTACAGCAGTTCTTTGCTGTAATGTAGTCCCAAGTCTAAATAAAGAAGGAGAAAAGAAGAAGAAAGTATCATTCCTATAGCGCCTCTCAAGATAAAAATCACGAGGCGCTACACAAAACCAAAAAATGTAAAAATATAAAAAAGAATTTAGAAAATGGTTAAAAATATATTTAAAATGAGCAAAAAATAGACAATTGTGGTTAAAAAATGTTAAGAAAGAGAGAGAGTGAATAGGAAAAAGGGACATCAGTGGATCCTGAGGAAGGTGGAATAGGTGGGGAGAGCAGAATAAAGAGAGAGTGGTGAAGAAGGTCATCCAAAAGCCAGCTTGAACAAGTGAGTCTTCAGCTGCTTTTTGAAGGAGACCACTGAGTCCACTGATCTCAGGCTCAGGGGGAGAGAGTTCCAGAGTCTGGAAGCCACATCAGCAAATGATCTGTCACCTTTGGTCTTTAGTCTGGTGCGTTGCACAACCAGTAGGCTTTGATCACTGGACCTCAGGGACCTGCTGGGGGTGTAGGGACAACTCCTGTAAGTCCTTCGTGTTACTCATTATTTGACTATTGAGGTCACTAAGAAAAATCTGAGTCATACTGAGTCATTTTAATGACCTTTTCATGCAAAAGGCTAGCTGTTATCGTTCACTTACATTGTTTATGCTAAGCTAACGGAATACTTCCAGATTAGGAGTGTGACTGGTTGAAAAATGCTTTTCCCCCCACATATCTAACTCTGAGGAAAGTGGCAACAGACAAAATTTCACTCAGGGTTGGAATGTCTATTTTAACCTAAAGAAAAATAATAACGACCTGACAATTCAATAGTAATTTGGGGCATTTTTTATTTTTGAAGATCCCGTGTGAGTAAATGTGGTGTCATCTGAAAAGGGCATTTACCAGCTGACATATGAAAGTGTTTAACAGTGTCTAGGTGTTCAAAAAGCATAATAATGAAACAAAACTGCAGTTTTTTAGAAAAAATTTGATTGGAGATAATAATCATCAAAAAGACACTGTGAAACATTCAAAACTTTGCTAAGCCATGGTATACACGTTGTAAAAGCTTTACAGTGTAAAGTTTTTGCGATATGTGTTTGTCTGCATGTTGAAACAAATCCCGCACGTTGGCGCTTGGTTTGAAGCAGGAAACGAGCTTCAGCTGCATCAAACCCACCCTCTTGTCCGTGTCATGCATTTGTTTTGTTTTTTAGCTCAGTTCACGAGAATTAGTTTCTTCTAACCAGAAAGGAAAATGTTTGAGTTTCGCTCAGTTTGTGATTAATTGCAAACCATTCTGTTTCAGTGTTGCCATCCATTTTCTTCATCTTTGTGAAACTTTTTTCTTTGTGCATACATCAGGGTGTCCGTATAAGTTTTCCCATAGCGACTGTAGGCAGGGATGGTATTTAGCTTTTTATTTACAACTAGATGGTTGCAAACAAAGAAACTGCATACGAGACAAACTGTTCTGGGACTGCAGAGACGCTGTTACTCTGTAATTAAAAACATACTAAGTTGGATCTCTGCCATTGGGAATAATTTGAGGATAAAAAAAATACCTGCAGATGCGCTGAAGCCAAAAGAAAAACAGCATTTCATACATTTTTATGGAATAGCTTTGTGTTTCTTTGTAATTCAGAATCCAAACAAATACACGTGGATCTGCAGCTGTAGGATGATTTGTCCTCTTCGATGTTAGACTCGTATCTTTCAGAGTGACGTACGTGAGAGGGGAGGCATCTTCACAAAAGGGATCGGGCGTATTTTTAGCATATTAAGGCTGTTTTTCAGTGAAGTCACCATTCTTTAGGACTTCATACAGAAATATGTCCTTGTGCTGAGTCTGGGAGGCCTTTTGATGCTGCTCTTGGATGAATGGGACCACCGTGTCCTGCAGGAGTGATGATTGACTACAACGGTTCTCACTGACAGGAACTATTCTCGGATATTTATTTGCAGATTAAATGTGATTCATTCAAATTAGCTTACAATCAGCTTGACAGAATAATAACATTATCTTATTTTTTTGGTCTGCTGGGAGAAAACCTTTCCCATCCCTGCAGAGCAGCGGTGGACTGGCATTGGAGCTATATTTTCATAATTTGGTTTAATTGTGCCTGGCGTGCCATCAGAATGGAAATCTTCCCCAGTGAGGGTTGATAAATATTTCATGAAGGTAATCTGAGCGGAGCAGTTTTGATCTGTAGACGATGAGCAGGCTTTATTTTTCCCCACAATGAGCTGATTGAGTCCTTCAGAGAAGGTGTGCAGACAGAGAGAGAGAGAGAGAGAGAGAGAGAGAGAGAGAGAGAGAGAGAGAGAGAGAGAGAGAGAGAGAGAGAGAGAGAGAGAGAGAGAGAGAGAGAGAGAGAGAGAGAGAGAGAGAGAGAGAGAGAGAGAGAGAGAGAGAGAGAGAGAGAGAGAGAGAGAGAGAGACGATGGGGTCGCTCCACCCGGCATAGCGGCACTGGGGGAGAAGTTTGAGTGTGAAATCCGCTGCCTCCACCCTAATGGCACTCGCTTTTTGACTCCACTCCCTGGGATACTCCTCCACTGCTGCATTTCATCTCTGATAATGATGTGAATGCTTCAGTGTCTTCCTCCTTTTCCTTTATTTCTGTTGAACTGAAAAAGAAAAACTAGATCATTTTACCCTGGTTATCATTTAAACTTCTAAGCATGACTGTATTTTATCTCCTCCTCTTTTTTTCCAGAGCTTTTTTGAAGGACAATCTGCACCGTGGGACTCTGCCAAGAAGGATGAAAACCGCATGAAGAACCGATATGGGAATATTATTGCATGTGTGTACAAAGCACCATTTTATCTGCTCCTGAATTTTTTATTTTATTGTATTTCCTTGCGTGCCATTCCCATTCTTTTGTCTGATTTATTAGCCGGGCATGCGACTGGGTGACTCTAAGCTGCTCAAACAGAGTTTTATTGTTTTATTATCAGCCAATGAGAGCAGCTTTGACCTTTACATTCTGCTTTTATATTCATCCCGCTCTGCCTTTTCAGTTTTGAGAAATAGGCCATCCAGGAGAAGATGCCACATACCATGTTGCTTAAGCATCATTTAAAAAAATACAGAGTTTTGTTCAACATTAGGCTATTCAGAGATTTAAAAGAGATTGCGTTTGCAATAATAATGCCCATGTCTATTGTTCGATTCGCTTCCTCATAATTTTTGATTGAAAAAAATTGCTTTAAGGCAAATTTTCTTGAACAATTAAAATGTGATAAAACAAGATTGATTAATTGCAAAGCCTCTAATTAATTAGATTAAAATTTCAATGGAGTCTCACCCCTAATATTAATATAAAACATATATTTTCTTTCAAGATCTTATTTATATATTCTAAAATATAATATTTCTGATAAAACGATTTAAAATATCCACTTTTCTAGAATAGCTGACCTCAGTTTAAGACAAAACCACAAAGGAATAGGACTATTTCAGAGATATTTTTAGAAACCTGATATCAGCAAGTCAAAAAACATCTAATTAAGACAATAAATGAAATCTTTGCCCATACCATTGGCTCCCAAAGTTGAGGTTGGAACCCCATTTTGGATCGTGAAACATCCGTAGGAGGGTCCTAGATTGTGTTTCCTCTAAAGGAGTATGGGGAGTTTCTCAGAGAGGGAAAATTGACCAGGAGAAAGGATGCCTCGGTCCTCTCAGCCTTTTCAGAACTTTGCTAAGACATTAGAGTATCACGTCTGCTTTGGTGGTGAGTGATGTCACTGATCAGCGCCAAAAAGCATCCACAGATATTAATTACATAAAAAATGTATTATGTCAAACTGCAACATAATTTAATCCATCTGAGGGACTGGGAGAGCTGTGTGACATAAAATGTGGCATTCAATGGCCATAAGAGGCACCATTTTTTCAAGTACTCTGAGTTACAGCTTACTGAATTACAACCAATCAGCACGAGTTAACCACAAGTCCCACCCAGTGACTCCACCAGGCCATTCCAAGTACATACCAGTTCAGGTACTTGGTTGAGTCCTTTTCGGGCTTGTCGGGATAGATGTGCATATACCTCTGTTAAATCTACACTAAAGTTCTGATAGTGGAAACGGCCCTAATGATTGCCATGGTAGATTAAAACCTAACTGTCACTATTATTTATACTAAATGTCTTCTCTGAGACTTTTAGTTTCTAGGTCACAGCCTGGAAAGTTTGGGAAGCCCTGTGTCTTTGTTGCATCCATACAACTCCACTTTTATTTGTCTCCGTCAGATGCACATCTGCCCTTTCCTTTAGACCTCCATCTTCCTTTTTTTCTTTTTCATTTTCCTCCCTGAAAACTTCTCTTTCTGTCCCTCCGTCCCTGTCTCCTCTCTTTCTGGCCTCGTTAATATGATTAATTCAACACCGATTTCTTCCTCTTTGCCTCTCTTCCAGATGATCACTCCCGCGTCAGACTGCAGGCCCTGGAGGGGGAACAGAGCTCCGATTACATTAATGCAAATTATGTTGATGTAAGTACACACACCAGCCAGTGCCACCACTGCAAAAGGTCACTGCGCTTCCTCTCAAGGAGGGAGAGGGCGCTGGTGCCGCCGTCTCCGCTGGGCCTGAGGGATGGTGCAGCTCCAGCTGCCTGTCCGTCACACAGCCACACACAGAAATATGCCCCAACAGAACCAGACACACACACACACACCAGCTTTTATTTCTAGCTTCAGAATCCTGCTTCATCCGTCTGTTTACTGGATATATTAAAAGAAGTAAGGATCAGAGGCTGGCAGTACTGGGACCGAGAAAAGACAAACCAGCCCATGAGGGGAACCGAGGTCATCGCTTTGATCTCTAAACACAAACAGCTTCATGGAAAATTATATTGCATGTTTACAATGATTTAAGCTGAGTGCAATGCATTTAATTTCACAAATGGAAAAAAAATATTGGGAATAAAACAGAAAGATTTTGTTATTCCTGTCTGAACTGTTCGTTGGACAGTGGCTTCACAGATATAACCCTTTATTGACTCTATGTATTCAGTAGGATGACTAAAATTAATTGAAAATCATAAATATTAGAGATTCTAAAGGTGTCGTTTGGTTTAAAGCTGTGGTCTGTAGTGTGACATCAGTAAAGAGGGGAGGAGAAGATTTTGAAATTTGAACCCTGCCCCCATCCCTTTCTGGAAGGAGCTAAAAGCCACGGCTCATACCGCACACACAATAGCCTTTGTAGCGCTAACAGACAAGTAATGTTTCCAAAATGTTTCAGCTCACACACCTAATTCTGACTGCTGAACTATCTCCTCAGCCGTCATCGGGTTCTGCAGGAGCAGCTAATCATTTGTTTTAATCAAATCTGCACTTGTGATGCTAGCACACCCATGGTAACGCTACAACCGGCGTCGGTACAAGATCTGCTCGGGTGCAAGATCGGCACAGGGTCCGTCGACTGCCGGTGACATCAAAGTAGTTGATTGGCTGAACATGAACCTTACGGAATTACGTAATCACGTTACGTTGTTATCACGTTACGTTGGTCCAGGCAAATCTTTCTGTTGGAAAGATGGGCAAGTTTTACAAAGAAATCCATCATTACCTCTTTGAAAATACACTTTTAGCATAGAACTGCATGTATATTAGGGCTGAACAGTTAACTGCATGTGCAATTAAATTGCGATGTGACAAAAGATTTTCTAATCGCAAAGGCTGCAATTTGGCAGCGAGTGGTTAGCGCAATGCTAATATACGTGGAAAAACCCATAGGAATGCTAATGCTAATATCACCGATTACATTCTTACAAATTATGAATTAGAAACGTGCCAAATGATTACATTTGGAGTCTAATAGAAAGTAAAACTACCATTAATCAAATAAGTACAGACAGGTATTTTAGTAAAGCCAGAAAACGTTTAACTCCAGAGTTTTGGCTAGCAGCTATGAGCGTACCTGAACTATGCATGGACAAGACGTCAAAAACTCTAAACACAAAATACTTCAATAAACGGGACACACTTCTTTCCTGCAAATACAATTTCACAGGTGTTGCTAATACCTATGATCCTTCAAGGGATGTGCTCAAAGAGGAGTTCAACATTATGAATACAATATAGTGTTTTATTTTACAAATACCATTATAAACACAAACTTACGTCGTAAGAAACATTGTTTTAATAACGAAACTGCTAAATTCTTTCCAACAGTATAGATGTGTAGTGTATTTTGTCCGAGTGTGTTTGCCACACTTTGACGTCATCGGCAGTCGAAGGACCCCGAGCCGATTTTGCACCCGAGCAGATCCTGTACCGACACCGGCTGAAACAACGGTCCGATGTAGCACCAGGTTTCATGCTACTCAGCTCCAACACACAAAAAATAATTCCTTTTTCTTCCCTCTTCCACAGCTAGCTTAAAGTTTACAGACTGACATTAATTAAATGAGCTAACAGTTAGCATTGAAGCTGGTTGGGTGCATTGTCATTGATTGACAGCTCCTGCTTGTGAATACACAAATCTGTTGGTCAACACTCTCGTGTAAATGACTTGCTCTAGACCAGCAGAGGGAGGGACGTAGGAGAAAAATATAAAGTATGAAAGATTACCTTCTTTATGTCATAACGGGCTTAAATATTAGATATTAAATCATGGATGAAAAGTTTCTCCAGCTCAACCAAGGCAAAACTGAAGTTTTAGTCATCGGTCCTGAGACCCAGAGAGAGAAACTTTTACCTAAACTACAATCAATGTGTTTTTATCCTTCACTACAAGTGAAGGATCTGGGTGTTATTTTCTATTCTGAGCTGACTTTTATCCCCCACATTAAAAACATCACAAAAATAGGTTTTTACCATCTTAAGAATATTGCCAGAGACCGCCTCATTCTCTCTCGGGCCAATACGGAGACGCTGATGCATGCTTTTATAACCAGTAGAATTGATTACTGCAATGCCCTGCTTTCTGGTCTTCCCAAAAAGAGCATCTCAGGTTTCCAACTTTTACAAAACTTAGCAGCACGTGTCCTGATGAAGACCAGGAAGCAGGAGCGTATCACTCCAGTTTTAGGATCACTGCACTGGCTCCCTGTATGTTTCAGGATCGATTTTAAGGTTCTTTTAATGGATTTTAAGTGTCTTAATGGTCTCGGGCCTTATTATCTTTCAGAACTGCTTTTACTATATAAACCCTCACGGTCTCTGCACTCCTCTGGCAGCCGTCTCCTAGTTATCCCTAAAGTTAAGACACCCACCCACGGCGAGGCGTCCTTCAACTATTACGGCCCTCGCCTTTGGAACGGGCTGCCGGAGGACCTCAGGGCCGAAGGGAACGTCCAGGCTTTTAAGAATAGGCTCAAGACCCACCTTTTTAGCTTAGCTTTTAACTGATTACTATTTATTTGGTCTAACTGTATCGCTTGTCGTATTTGTTTATTTATATATATATATATATATATATATATATATATATATATATATATATATATATATACCTATTTATCTCTTTTACTTAATTTTATGATTTTATTTACATCTTAGTGTTTTTAAATGATTGTGTTTTATTTTACTATCTTTATAATCACCTTTTATCAGTTACTTTCTATCCATATTATCTTTTGTTATTTTACAGTTATATATTTTAATCCTCCAGTGTTTCCTCTGCAGAGCCCTCTGCCTTGGGGCCGGTGGTCGGCGGCGGTGGCCGGGGCGCTCCTCGGGTAGTGCCTGGGCAGTGGTGGGCGTCTCTGCCCTCCCTCCCTGGGCGTCATGGCCCGGTGTCTTGGCTGCTGCCGTGGATCTGTTGCTGTCGAGGCAGATGGCTCCGCTGTTGATGTGTCATCCATCCGTTCAAAAGCAGCCCTCCCAAATTTCTGCAAAGTTCATCTTTTATCTTATCCTTAAAATCATGAAGTTGAAAGTAGAGCTGAGAAATAGTTGAGACAAAATTTTTGTGGATTTTCTTTGAGAAAGGACGGGTGCATTTGACTTTATTACAAAAGGACTAACTCAAGGACAGAGGGGTGTTTTGTTTAATGAACACTTTTATTCCAGCGCTCACCAGACTGACTCATGATGCCTTCATGGTGAGTAAAGTTGTTAAAAAGTAACGTGAGGCAGACCTGCTAAAAACACATCTAACTCACTTAGCTCACACTATAGAGAAGCTCCTGATCTGAGTTGATTTGCTGTTAATAGCAACGTCAGGATGTAACAATAACAGCAGCTCTTTGGCCTCCTCCAGCAGATGCTTCTGCTCCACGTGTAATGGGCCAAATCTCTAAGTGGTTATCCGCTCAGGAGGGAACTCGGGTCTGTCTATCATCCCCGTCCTATAATGTGGTCATTTGTAATCTCTCATTACTCCTTCAAACATAAATTCATAACGCAAGGTGTGCAGAGGCAAATGCAGGAGGCTTCAATTATTTACCTTTCCCACTATTCGCTTTATGGCCCATTATGCTGCGGAGAAGACTCTCGCAGCAGAGAGTCCCATTAGAAGATAAGAATATACGCATATTAAAGAAGCCCCTGATTGAAAAGGATTTCCATCGCCACACCGGCTTCACTGGAAAAGTGCTTAGTAGAGATGCAGGCAGATGGGTAATGATGTCTTTGCTCTTCAGAAAGCTTTTTAACCCATCTAAAAGCTTGTCCCGCCAATAAACCGCTATGAGTAGAACATTTCCCACAGTGTTTGTTATTCTACTCTATTATACTTCTGATTACTTGCATGTGCAAGTAAACATTTCTCTTCTCTGCAGTTGATTTAGTATTTTCATAAACATTTGGGAGCCAATGTAACCGTGTAATGGTCTGCTGCCTGTTGAGTTTGTGTGTGTGTGTGTGTGTGTGTGTGTGTGTGTGTGTGTGTGTGTGTGTGTGTGTGTGTGTGTGTGTGTGTGTGTGTGTGTGTGTGTGTGTGTGTGTGTGTGTGTGTGTGTGTGTGTGTGTGTGTGTGTGTTTTGACAGTAGGGCTTGCAGGAACGCTGCTCTGAAGTGATGCACTGCTTGGATAAATTTGCAGGGTGTACTCGGAAATCTTGTCACTCAGGTGCTCAGAACCATGTCTGGTAAACGTTTCTGCTCATTTACAATTAATTTTTTTCCTCGGAGGATAATGTATTCATTACTTTTTGTTAATTAGTGTTGCCACAAACTGTTCACTACAATCTGTTCACTGAATGCATCTGGAAAACTTCCCTTTTTTGACATTACAGTGCTCTCAGAATGAGCTGACTTTGTCAGAATTTAACCTAATCAAGAATTTAAAGTCTAGAATTAAAAGTGCATGAGATGCAGGACTCCAGAACTACTCATGTGCACACCTAACTTGTCCAATAATATTGTTTCTGACCTGAAACCAGCCTCCCACTGGGTTTTAACTCCTTAGAGACACGGAAAAACATGCAGCTTTTCTGTTTGAATCACGTGCAAAACGTTTGTAAAATTTTTTGTGCTTGGGTTATTTGGGCCATATGACTGACTTTCAATCAAGTTGCAACAATTATGCAGATTTTACTGTCTAACTTTGTCTCGGTGTACCATCGCTTTATCCGCCAAAGCCCTCTTAACATTTCTTACTATTCTGATTCTCTGAAGACATGGAGGAAAGGTTGAGAGGAGCCATGCAACAGTTATGGCTATTTTTATGGGATGGCTGCCGCTTACTTCTCTTCACAATTAAAGCGACACAAAAGTAAGGTCCAGCAGCTCACGCAAGATAAATGAGAACAACAGTGGATATTTCTGGAGAGCTGAAGAAATTCAAAATTAGCAGCTGGAGTCAAAAAACCCTTGTCAACCTGTTCGGCTTGCATCCACTTGAATTAAATTAGTGTCTATTTTTGTAGGTTACGACCTAGATTAAGAACCTGCTGATTTTTCTCTTCTAATTTTAGATCAATCTGGGGGTTTGGCAAAACCACTCAGCTGCATTTCTATCATTCTTATCTGCTCGTTTCTTTCTTCTCAAAGTGTTTTGACTCCGCAAGACACACCAACTCTCACTGATGATCTGGAGAACAGAGGACCTGCAGGAAATCAAGCACAAACAAAAAAATGTAACAGTTGCAGAGTTTAGCTGATGTTGATGTAAAAGTCGAGTTCACAGATAAAATGTTTTTTTTTTTTACTTGTTATTTTGTAAATATCACTCAGAGTTTCACATGCAGGCTGAACATGAGAACGGTCTTCTGCCTACAGACATCATACGTAGACGCGACGTGGACTGGGGCTGCCTATTGGAGCTTGCTTAGTAGCGAGCCGCCAACTTGGACGGGTCCCCAGTAAATTTATTTCTACTGAAGAAGGCGTTTACCCACCAAAAAAACACATTTTATTATGATTTTTAACTAAATCCAACATATGATGTTGCATGCTAATTCAAATGTAAACATATTCAAATTAAATAAATGTAAATTTAAAATTACAACAGGTAGGCTAGAAAAGTCAACGGTAATCCTACATGATCTGTTTTAGAAGTGCGTTGGTTACTGCAGCCATAGGCTGCACAAAAAACGAGCGTAGTCACTCGCTCTGCATTGACTCCAGTTGGGTTTGGAGAGTGAGGAACCGACCCAATATGGCGTCGACACTGTTATGCTAAACGCCCAATGGCGCTTCTATGAATTCCTGTGAGTAACTCATCTTGACTCACAACGAGGAAGGATGTTGTTAATTTAGCTTCCAGGAAACAACAGAACATGTTGACTAGTAGAAGCTAGCCATTAGCATTAGCAGCACTAATTAGCATTAGTAGATTCACATCAAAGTGTCCAGATGGAGTATCAAGATTAGTACTTTCATCAAAAACCTTCTATATCCATCTTTAGACATTTTTACTGCCCTCAGGTGGAGGTTCTATGGGTAGCAAGGGTTGATTTTTATTTCTTTATGACTGTTAGAATGTTTATAAGGAAATATTAAAAAGCAGGTTACCGAGAAACCATTTTTTACTTTTTCTTTTCTTTTTAATAACTGGGCATTCTGAGTTAACATACAGGCAGAACATGAAAATAATTTCCTTCACCCATTTCCTGCATCAGCTTCCAATTGAAAAATGACGGGAAAACGCTCTGTTAAGAAAATTGTACCAGATCTACGTCACACTGTCACTTAGTGGGCTCACGCATCTAGACTCATAACAGGGAAGGTTGTTGTTGGTTTAGCGTCCAGGAAACAGCAGCGTCTCAGCTAGTAGAAGCTAATTGTTAGCATTAGCACCTCCACCACACAGCAGAACTCCTCCAGGCTTGTGTTATTTGTGGAAATTAAACATCAACGTTGCAGAGCAAACAGAGTCAATGGTAGAGTCACATTGTTGTTAGCCAATCAGAAGGGAGATGTCCAAATATCAGGAAAAAACTTGTGTTCTGCTCCCCTTTGCTCTGGCTCACCTCTACGTCCTGAAACAGGTGCGCCAGAGCTTTTTTGCTACAGAGATTCACTCACATTCATTACTGGAGGCCTCTGAAAACGTATTGAAAAATCAAGTGAACTTGGTCTTTCATTATTCTTACACATTCAATTGAAATTAATCTAAAAAAAATACCTCTACGTCTGGAGTGTTCCCTTTGGTTTGGAGGTCTCTAGGTGCAATAATTCTTGCTGGGAAAATTATTTCCAAATTACTAATGCAAAAATAAAAACATGTATATGGTGAAAAAGTGGAATATCAACAGGGTTAGATTTGTTAAAGCATGTGGGAGTCCATGCCCACAGGAACAAACACTTCATGCTGCACATTTTGGACACCTGACTCCACACGTTCACTGGAAAGTCACAATTTAAATGATCACTAGCAATGGTGCAAATGCTAAGATCTCCATACATTTAATAGTCCTGGAACCAAATCCTTTATCAGTATTTACAATTTTATCCTCCTGTGCTCGTTCATGAAGAGAAGCTCCACTCACCTGGCTTTTCCCGTCTAATCCGCGGTGTTCTGGGCCTCCACTTCACTCAAACGAACACACATGAAAGCGCAAACAAATCTCCTCGGCCCAGAGATAAAGAAGTCATTAAAAATGGAAGAGACTTGAATGGCTGAAAGAGCCCTCTGGATGAGAGGGAGAATGAGGAAAATATCCTTTGTGTCTTCCCCCCTTCATTGGAGGAGCGTTAATCACAGTCCAGGTTAAATTGAATATGAGTGAGATAAGCGGAGCGGCAGGGGTGGTTTGGGGGGGGATCAAGAAAAGCCTGGGATGAAGAAGCGCCTTTAAATCCTAATTTTTTGTTTGCTGCTTCATATCTCAGAGGAGAAGACAAGGAATTGGACAAATAAAAACTTGAAGGGATTAGAGTAATCCCTGAGACTGGGGGCCTTATTGTGGAGATCAGTGCTGTTAGCTGTACCTGAGGGATTATCAACACTTTGACTGCCTGTAGTCCAGAGGTGTGCTGTGTGCAGAGAGTGGTGTGTTGTGCATGCATGAGGGCAGTATTCCTCCAGTGCATCACACACCTCTTAAACAATCCCACTAAGGGTGCAACAGTAAAAAAAAAACAGCTGTTATGGATTTCATATGTTTGAAATTAGTCAGCGTGGTTGGGTCGACCTCCTGAACCTCCACAGACTCAATATCAAAAACAATGTGTTTCCTGCGACAAATAACCTCCCACCACCTGGTGTTTTTATGAGCGAATGACTCTCATATCTGCTTGTGTTTCTTCTCTGCTTCCAGGGCTACCACAGGCCGAATCACTACATCGCCACTCAGGGTAAGAAAAAAACTTTCTAAAAATTCCCAGGTTCTTTAGCGCGGAACGTGTGGGTGGTGGTGAGAGTTTTAAGGCTTGTGTTTGTTTGCTGCGAGCAAACGCACGCAGGTGTTCACAAATATCTCCATGAACATCCCCTTTCTTGTTTACACGCGCTGTTGCAAACTGCTCTTTGATGCTCGGTCAGGTGTGTGAATGTGTGGGGGGTGCTGATACACACATGCTAACACACTCTTCTGAGCAAGCAGCCAGGGCAGCACGCTTTCTCTCTCCATCTTCTTCCTCTTCTCGTTCCATCGGTGGTGCAGGAGCGATTAATCAGGCAGCCTGGGAGCTCGCTGAATAAATAAATGGATTAGCGGACATGTACAAACACATTTTGTCACTGTATTAATCTGGCCTGCAGATTTGCACAGAAAGGAGCACTTACAGTGACCCCAGAGGTGAAACCTGATTGATGGTTAATTGTTATGAATCTTGCATCAAGGGTCTCACTCCCACTCAACAGGGCCGCTGCATGCACAGGGATATTAGAGACAAAAAAAATCATCGGAGAAGAGAGAGAAAGAGAAAAAGAGAGGCGTTTGTGCGAAGAGGCCTTAATGGATTCACAGTCTGCTTTAGCGGAGCTGGGAGTTGCATAATTACCTGTTTATTAGTGCATTGCCTCTCTTCCTCAGCATCTCAATTAAAGCAACTCTCTGTTTGCTCTTACTTCAAAAAGAGATGGCACACCGATCAGGCGGCTCAACTGCTCGGTCTGTGTGCAAAGCACCTGCCACGGCTCGTGCTGACCGCCGGGTCAAACACTCAAAACAAAGCCCTCCGTCAAGTGCCGACTCCCTACCTGTGGGCTCCGTCTTAGGTGTGTGTTCAGCTCTACCAGGCTTCCTGCCGGATTATTGACTCCCATAAGCATCCCTATAATCATTAATAGCGTTCCATGTTTCATTCTAAAATATGCACATAGAGATCATCAACAGTCAAAGATATTTTCCAAAACAGAAGGATGAAAAGCTCGAGAAGACAAACATGTTTTCGTTCAAGCTAATTAGCTCATTTTTCTTCATTGAGCTTGCATAATAAGTCCTCGATTTCCATCGTCGGAATGATAAAGCTTTGCACAATGTAGAGCCATTTAGTCCACAAAAAATGAGATGCGGGGGGGGGGGGGGACATCTGTATTCTCTAGGAGGATTGGCCCTTTTTATAATTCATCATCAGCTCCGGCAGACTGACAGGAAGGAAGGTGCAGTCTGCTGACACCGAGGCAAAGAGCAGCCAGAGATGATAGGAGAGCCAGACACAGACCTGTGTCTTTCACTCAGGCAAACTGCACACGGTAGCACCTGAAAAGAGCACCTGGGCATTGGCGAACTCGCAGAAAATGAGGAAGTAGTCTCTCCTCTCTCCCTTTTGCAAAGTTTTTTCCACTGAGTGACACTTTCAGTCCACCGGGACCAAGCAGTGGCTCAGAAAATCCCGAGGCCTCCGATAGTGCTGGATAAGCTAAAAATTGCCTGTCATAAATTGCCGGTGGAAGTGGTTTGGATGTGCCTAATACAGCAGACAGGTGGGATAACTTTGTCCCCGTCCTCTTGCGCTGTAAACTACAATGGCACTCATTAGTCTGGGGTTTACTGGCGAGTCTCTTTACTGTGTCAAGGTGACAACGGCAGGTAGAACAGCTGTCACTCCATAAAAGCCTCATCACCCAGGCTCTGCTCCTCATTATGTAGGCCATTCTCTCATCCACGGCTTTTTTTGTTTTTTTTTTCTGCTGTAGCAACACAAATTTCTGTTACTGAGTTCAGCTCACCGATTTCACAGCCTGAGTGTCCACAACATCTCTCCCAGCTCACCGCCTCGCTTCTGTCCATTTCCGTGTTTAAACACTGATCAGGCGCGAGCTTCTTCCTGCTGGAGATGGTGAATTACATCGACACGGGCGTGCAAACAGCTCTGATAAGTCCCCACAGCCTCCAGGTGGTATATGGAAAATATTCATGATGCGGGGGAAAGAGTTCAATTTCATCGAGCCTTCCTTCCCCCTCCGGTCGTCTCTGCTCTTCCCTCTGGTCTCTCTCTCTCAAGCTGCAAATGTCACCAGGAGCGCTAAGGTTTTATTATTTACAGGTTAATATTCCAAAGCCCAGTAGAGGGGGTGGGGCTGGAAGGAGGGAGAGAGCAAATCAATGATAAGTGAGTGTACATTATGCTAAAGGCTGCTGCATGTAATATTAATGGGAAAGATGAGGAACATGGCCTGTTTGTGCAAGTGTGTGCGTGCGTGCATGCGTGCGTGCATGCGTGCGTGTGTGTGTGTGTGTGTGCGTGCGTGCGTGCATGCGCATGTGCGTGTGTGTGTGTGTGTGTGTGTGTGTTGATCAGGAGTTTTGCGACGTACCTGGCTGTGGGATTTCTACAGATGTCACACTCTGTGCTTCTGAGGAAGAGGAGGCCTAGTCCCAAAACACCCCATCAGCTGCAGCAGCATTAGCTCTCTGACAGCTGGAAGTGAAGCTCCTGCTGCTGTTCTTCTCCTCTGAAGTGTCTCCTCCAAACTTCTCCAACTACAATACACACACACACACACACACACACATGCTGTGCTACAGACGCACCTCTCATCCTCCTCAAGCGAGCTCTCAAATCAGCTTCTCTAAAATAACCTGTAGCTAAATCTTTGAGCGTGTGAGCTTTTCGCTCTTGACAACGGATCAACAGGACGTGTTTGCTCTGAGGCACATTTTTAAAGTCCTTTTATTGTTTAAACTTTAAAACTTATTGTTTTACAACACATTTTTACAATTACAAAAACATGCTATACAATATGGTGCAGAGGGAGCTAAGGCAGCAGGATTTTGGGCATGCCCTGCTGGATGGAGGCTCCCAGGTTGACAAGGTTGGCAAGAAACCCCTCTGAAATACCACTGGTGGTGGCGGTGAAGGTTGCTGGGGACAGGCGGGATCTCTGGGCACTCCTAAGCAAGAGATCCCTTCCAGCAAATTCTGGATCTGCCAGGTGATGTCCTGGAAAACCTCCAGAGTGAGGCAACTAGGAGGCATCCTAATCAGATGCTTGATCCACCAGATGACTCTTTTTGATAAAGAGGAGCAGCTCCTCACCTTATCTCAAAGGCCCTATAAACAGGTTTCCCATAAAACAACATTTTTTCTATGGTTTGGTGTGTCATCCACTGGAAGTGAAGATAAACTTCTTCAAAACAGATTTAAAAATTCTCCATTGTCAGCATCTGCTTGAAGATGTGACAGTGTGAGCGTCCTGTCACTGTCATCCGATTGATCATGAGCCCTGGCTACTTGGCCAAGGGGATGTCCCTTTGGCTGACTGGTTAGCATGTATGACTCTCACCTGGGGGTCAAATCCCGCCTGGGCCCTTGTTTCTCCACCTTGCCACATTGACATAAATAACCATGGACTTAAGTTTTGCAGCATCACTACCTACGACACAAATCCTCTGAAATCCCACGTAGACCTGTTCTTACACTCTGCTGAATTTACAAGCACATTTACTTCTCTATGTAGAAGACCACTGGCACGGCAATAAGGACGGTCTTTTCCCACCACCTAGCTATTCCACATCCAAGGAATGTTTTTCAGCGAAGACGGCAACAGTTTCCAATCCAATCCAATTTTATTTATAAAGCGCATTCACAAGGCATTACAACCAAACAAGGCGCTGTACACTAAAAATGTTGGTTGATTAAACAGGCGTTATACAAACATGTCGAACACAGATAAAATATAAAAAGGAAATACAACAAAATTCCCAAAAATAACAGCTAAAAATCAATAAGACACAGGGTGAATAAAAATTAGAAAAAACATTTTAAAAAGTAGTTTCAAGAACTACTGCCACCTACAGGCTTGGCGTGCTTATTAATGTGCTTCACATTTGTATTTAATTTCTGAAAACAAGACTGTGTGTTGCCAAGTGTCTTTCCTTGATGGACAAGGGAGGATATTTGGTTTTACCAAATCTGGCTACATGTGCGTGGGGCCTCAAATCTGAGTCAGGCCACCCCATAGAGGAAGCTTAATAGGCTCTTTGTTTCCTAAATTTTGTTCTTTCAGTTCGGTCTTCTTGCTATACCTCCAGCAACACATTCTTCTTGCTTTCCATCTTCAGCTAGTGGTTATAGTTGCGGTCTTCTACATATGAAGTATTTTTAGTTTCACATCTTCAGTCAAAGTTTTATCTTGGAACATGCATTTAACAGCATTCAGCAACATTCTGTGCTGCATGAAATTCCAGAGCAATGAGAAAAACCCTCAGACTGCCAAGCCATCCTATCAGTCTGGCCACGACCCATAGACTGATCTCAGTCGTGGGTCGGGATCTACGGTTGTCTTTCAAACTGTCTCCAAATGCTATTGGACATGACATGCTCACCGCTGCGGATGTCAGACAACGGGGCAGTCCTCCATACACCGTCAAATAAGACGCAAATGCATTGTTTTTCTAGATAAAGGACTTAAGTATCTGGTCATGAGTCAAAGAAACGCCCAAGTCTAAATAGTCCAGAGTTGATGCCAAAGCCGTTTAAAACGAGCCGTCCCTTTCTTAGTTCTGCTCAGTCGCAGTAACAACCCACTCAAACTGAGAGCACTGTGATTGGGCCACCAAACCAAACAGAGCGCTGTGATTGGCATGCTACCAGAGGCCAGGGCTGCAGAGGTTCCAATGGAGCGTGGCTAGACCAACATGCAGAACAAAATCATTTCAGGCTTAAACCCCTCACAAATTGTTTCAAATTTTAAAATCCAAGTCGTTGCCATTTTCCGTTTTTGTTGTCCAATCCTTTTAGTGAGATGGAAATTTTCCAGCGGTTCCTCTGTTACAAACGGCAGTGAGACATGTCAGCTTGCCAGAGGGGAAGGGACAACTCTCTGTTCTAAATGGAAATAAAACCTAACAAACAGAGTGTCATGTTGTGGTGTAGGTATCTAACCCACGACATACTGAATCAGTTCAGAGGCGGTGGTGAAGGTTGTAAACAAATAATTTATTAAAAAGGAGGAACCAAGGGAGCAGCAAAACGTAGCTGATATCTTCAACGGGGTCGGGAGCGGGAATCTGCAGACAGACGTAAGTTAGGTCCAACTCGAGAAAAGGGGAAACAGGGAATATTGAATCTGCAGAGAGCTTGCAGTCTGTAGGAGGGAATTGCTCGAGGGGGGGGGGGGGGGGGGGGGTTGTTGGTGCGGTCTGGGTCGATGATGGTTTCTTGGAACAGGGGGGCCCTGAGTTGGAGGTGGAGGGAGCCGAGCAAGGAGAGGGTGCGAATCCAGGTGAGAATTGGTGGGCTACTGAGAGACGAGCGGAGATGAGTTTCACCAGAGTTCAGCCAGTCAGAGATGGAAGTGGAGGGTTTGTCTGAAAACAGTAACAGAAGATCAAAAAATGCACAAATCTAAAGTTCAAAAAGCACGAGAGCTCAAAGCTAAAAAATACTCAAGTGTTCAATCTCTAGATGGCTTAGAAGGTACCCAAGGTAGAGTAATCATCCAGCGTAGTGATGGCGTTTCTCAGCAGCTTAAATTCTCCCTGGCCGGCTGATGAGCTGATCGTCTACAGCTTGGCCACCTCCAGACACGCCCACCTGCAGCAGGAGACTCAAAACCAAAACACAGATGGCAGGAGGAAACCCAGACCATGGCATAGAGGAGCAAAGAACAATAATCTTGAGAAACACGTTCTACTTCTCTTCATAGATTTCTAGCTGAAAATATTTTCTTTTTATCAAAAGAAGTTTCGGTTTGTGAGACCCTTCAATTTAAAAATTGCCCACTCATCCATCCTCACTTCCTCATGAGTGCCATCAAGTTCACTTCCACCCAGCAGCACGCCCATATCAATTCTCCATTTTAGCATGCTTATAGAAACATAAATTGGCTGCCAGCAGCTTGGCAGAAGCCTCCATTGGTTGGTTTACCATATAATGCCAAGTGTTATTGTGTTAGTGAAGTCCTACACACCAGCTGTCCTGCTTCTCAGTCTCCCTCTCTCAAACTTCTCAACAGTGTGTATCCTCCCTCAGGGACACGTGTAGGAGGCAGCAGAGTGGGCGGTTCAATCAGGTTGGGTAGCTATCAGATAGACTGGAAGTGACTGGATGGAAGACTGAGGTCCTCCAGTTAAATGTGAGGCATGCCACCAAATGCAAGGCTGAAGGACCGAGGGAACAAAAATGGAAGTTATTAAGTAGATTTGGTCCAAATTCTTAATTGGATGTGAGAAAATCATTCTTTCACATAAAATAAATAAATGTGGTTCGCTGCAAACTCTTCTGGTTTTCTTAAGAGAGAGGCATTACAATGTATGATTTGTTTTTGTGCAAAGAAGTGTGTGACACTAACAAATTATAAATTGTAGAAAATCCTCATTTGAATGCCCAGAAATTCGTTAAAACAACCTTAAAGTCGTCTGAATCAAGAAGTAGTTTAAGTTTTTTGCAAATAAGTTTGCTAAATGGAATTAGCCAAATAAAGTCACACTTGAAATGAACCCTCACAGAAAATCAGAGACACAGCTGCTTTAACTTTCCCCACCGATTCCAGATCCAGACATGCCGTTTAGGAATAACTTGCATCTAAAGAACGACGTAATCTAAAATCTCCCTGTTTCACCGAACCATGCCAGCTCCCTGTAGTTTAATGTTTTATGGCAAGAAGCAGGCATGAGAAAGAGAAAGATGCCATTCCTCCATAAATCAGATACATGTACTCACAAATGTACTTAATTATTCATTTCTTTTTAAATGATTTGACCATTTTAATGTCTAATTTGATGCTTTTTTTATGTTTTGCATTGGGCATTGAGATCAGTCTTCCTCTAAGAGTTGTTAGTAATTACAGTAAGGCTATGTAGGTCAAAACAAGTTGAGTTTACAGGAACAGGAAGTAGTCCTGGAATCACAGCAGTACTACTGAAAAGTCATACCAATGCATTAGAACAATATCTTGTTTTATATGAACCCATGCAAAATGTTATGTCATAAATGGGCAACGAAAAATCAATCAATCAAAAAGTGCTTTTCATAGAAAAAAATGTAACTCCGAGTGCTTTACACATTTAAAAAAGACCCCACATATCCCACAAATGACTTTGACAAGTAATCTTAAAGCGGTGACTACATGGTGAGGTCTCCAAGGGCTGTCTCATTTTGCAGGAGCTTGAGACAAAAGCTACAGTAAGACTGGAAAGCTCAGCTTGCATTTTGTTAACCGGATCTCTCTGGGTAGCCCCGCCCGAGTCTACACATTTGTCCAGAGTTTGGAAAACTCCAAATCTCGTGAGAATTAATCTTGCAGTGCAAGGTTAGCATTTTGTGTGTGTGAACAGACATTCTCATCACCACGGCTGGTGAGAACAATAGTACTCATCCCTGCACACGTGGATGCCTGGCCAAGGCGAACCTACGTGTTTAAATGACCTGTATTTGTGTAGGGTTCGACAACCCCCCAAGGCGCTTCACAGCACCTATCCAAACTGGTGAAGATAACCTACAAAGTATCCACAGCTGCCCTGGGACACACTGACAGAGACCAGGCTGCTTTAGGTTAGATGTCTTGCCCAAGGACACAACAGCAGCATTCTCTGGCAGGTGCAGGGATTGAATCTTCAACCTTCTGATTACTGGACAACCCGCTCTACCTCCTGAGCTACTGCTGCCCTCAGTGCTAAGCTAACTTAAAATAATATAGCAATATTGAGCAAACTATTTCTCCCATTAGTGGAATTGGTGGTTTTCTTATTGCTTCCTTTCATACTCCCTAAAGTAAAAAAACGAGTACGTTTTTGAAATAAACACTTAGGACAAAGCACTGACAGTGTCACTGTTTTCCATCAGTCACCGAGATTTAAAGTAGACTATTTTTCTAATCATTTTATGCAAAACAAAAGCCTGAACTTAATAATGAACTGATCATACCTGACCTGATTCAAACAGGTTTTAAGGGACTGGCTGCTGATGAGTTTAATAAGTGACAACAAAAACACGAAGAGCGTGTGGCTGTTCCGTCGCGTTTGATCCGGCGTCTCCGTATGTGCCTGCATAATTCGTCGTGTCTCCAGGTAATTTGGGCCGAGAGAATCTGTAGTTGCGGAGATTTGCATTCGCTAATTAATTTGTCAGAAGTAATTCTTTTTCACGTGGCGCTTGATTAAAACTAACCAAATTAATAATTAACTTCAGCCCACAGTTATTGCTGTGTGAAGTTTTAAATATTAGAGGCATTTGAGCGGGCGTCTGCTCTTTAGTCTGATGTTCATCAGACACATTTGGGTCTGGCTGGGTGGAAAGGTTGCTGCTGAACAGATGAGGCGAGGTGGTAATTACTGTGCCACACACACACACACACACACACACACACACACACACACACACACACACACACATGTTGAAGCTTCTATTGGTACTTTAGAGAATTACAGCCTTTTTTCCTCTGGACGTGTCTGTTTTCATGAACCTTACATTCTTGAAATGAAATGTATTGTCGTAGAATTAGAAAACAACATATTTTTTTGTTTCTTTTCAGGCCCCATGCAGGAGACGGTGATCGACTTCTGGAAGATGGTGTGGCAGGAGAACACAGCCGCCATCGTCATGGTGACCAACCTGGTAGAAGTGGGCAGGGTGGGTATTAATTATAATCACGTGACCCACTAGATCTCGGATAAGAAGGTCCGATTCTCAGTCGACTGGCAGCGTGGTTGTATCCGGAGGCTAGCCGAGACATCCTTCATGTTTGTAATGTCTTTGAACATCAGCGCCCAGATGTTTCTGTGTGTGCGCGTGAGTGTATCCTGGCTTAGTGAGGCGTGGACTCGTGTGCCGCCAGCTCTTTCTCCATCTATCTGATCAGTGAGGAGTGAGAAGAAGCTGATTGATGGCCTTCATTACTGGAGAGGCATCCAGGCGGCTGACTACTGTTTCATCTGAGTGGCTCTATAACAGAAGATTAGACTCTGCTGAAGCCGCCAGCTCTTACCGGGCTCCTCGGGAAAGACACATCTAATGTTGTCCTCTTTGACAAAAGGGGGGCCTGTTATTGAGTCATAAGGACTTTTTATGATCTTCTAACTGATATAAAACTGACTTCTTTTGTTCTCTATTAAGGTGAAGTCAGAGTCTTGCCTTTGTTCTGATTTGTCCCATTTATCTCACACACCGGCTCCTTCTGCTCAGGTTAAAACTGGGAGGAAATGAAGGATTGAACACACAGTTTAATGCTTTGACAGTCAGGGGATTTTCTCTAAGACATTCAAACACATTTATACTGAAAATGAATGTGCACATGATTTTGATGATGTGCGTTTCTTTGTTAGGGCTTGAATGTACCAGAGCTGATAACGATTCATGGGGCCCATCTCCAGATACCTCATTAAGCCTTTCCTCTACTGTAGCTGAGCCCGACCCATCCCGCCCCACACCTTCTCCACACCTGCTTAGCTGCGATGGCGTTCTCTGCGGGCGTCGGCTCCCAAACCATCTGTTATATGATCCTTATCCAATGGCGGGCGATATAGGCGCAGTTGGTCACAGGGACTATGGAGGGCCCCATAAAAATCACTTTGCCATATCACCGTGGGCCATCTGCTCGGCACAGTTGCTGATGCACTCTGGGAAATCCTGGCACGCACTCAGACAGGCACACACAGCTTCTGTCCTGATGCTTGCACACACACACACACGGGCGGCGCACTTTGATGTATGAGAGATTTGATTTTTGGAAGTCGGCGTGCTGATGTGTGTGATGAGGTGATGCTTTTTTCTCCGTTTACTTATCCACATTAGTGAATGAGTTCAAGAGTGACGTTCTCACAGTTGCACATGCCCACAAATGAACATCTGTGTGACACATTTCAGCCTAAAGCCCCCCCCCCCCCCCCCCCCCCCCCCCCCCCCCACACACACACACACACACACCTCAAACACCACCACCTAACCAGGCGCCTGACTCAGAGTGCTCTAATAAGGTAATGGCTTTTGGCTAATTCAATCTAGCTGGAAGCGGACGGTGGATTTGTGATTGTCATCAGGGATTAGTCATCCAGGGTGTCAGAGAGAGGGACCAGAACGTCGTCCTCTGCTCGTGTCATTCCACAAACCCAAATGTCATTTCATTCGTAATCAGAGCCTAGATTTAAATTAAATCTACCGCAGGCCGATGTCCCGTTCATTAGAAATGATCTTTCTCTGATTTACCTCCATGATCTCAATCCCAGTTTTACTCCACTAGTATCAACAGTTTAATTGAGCAAGAGAGGGAGGGGGGAGCACTTTTATCATACCTAATACAAGAAATATTTCCAGTGGGGTGTTTTTAGATCTCTGCAGGGAAATCTGTTTCAAGCAGCTGAGGGTTTATTATTTCATGTCATTACTGGGTTGTCATTATATCTCTCTCACCCAGTGGTAGCGCACAATTTTTTTATCTGTATTCTGTCGCTTAGTCGAACGTTTAAGGTGGAAAACATGAAATTGCCTCAGAATCGGCTCCCTTCCCTCCCAGCTTTGTGTACGAGGCCACCTTTAGACTCATTTTCACATTACCAATGTGAGAATGAAAAAGCAATAAAGTGCAACAGAACCCGAATACATCAGATACCCATTTACAACAGATCCTTGACCGAGAGACGTTGCTAATATAAAGCAAACCTCATTTTGATTAGAAACAAACAGAAATATCAGGTGGCAAATTGGAGGTTTGTTATGTGACAAAAAAAATGACGACAGAACGTGTGTGTGTGTGTGTGTGTGTGTGTGTGTGCGTGCGTGCGTGCGTGCGTGCGTGTGTGTGTGTGTGTGTGTGTGTGTGTGTGTGTGACTTCAATGTAAATGGAATTAAGTCTCCATTTGAGGTAATGTTGTAAAGCAGCCGGTTTTCTGCCCCTCAGGTGAAGTGCTGCAAGTACTGGCCCGACGACTCGGAGATCTACAGAGACATCAAGGTGACGCTGATCGAAACCGAGCTGCTGTCAGAATATGTCATTAGAACCTTCGCGGTGGAGAAGGTAGAGTCTCCTTTTGACGTTTTTCACATTTTACAACCCTGGAAATACTGTCTCTCCTTTTACTCTCAGCTTTTTTCACACCATTGAGCCGTCTTGGCGGTTATGAGGACGTCAAACGTATTTGCAAAGCTGCTTTAGTGCTTTAAAGATCAATATTTTGTGAAGTTCCTTTGCTGCAGCTGCTTGTCAAAAACTTTTTAAATCAACTTTCATTAACTATTTTTCAAGGCCACAGAAAATATTTGCAGCTAAATGTTCTAAATGAAACTTCTAAGGCATTCACGTACCTCCTCCTTCATTCATTTGCCTTTATTCATCTTTATAATTTAAAAGCAGTCACATGTAAATAGTTTGATTTTCTTCTTCTGTCACACGGATGGTGACTTTTATAAATGAGTAGAAAACAAACTCACAGAAACTATTCTGGCAGTCTTCAAAAGAACTTGAACATCCTTATTAATAAGCTTTATGGTAAAAATCCACACAAACATCTTTTATTTACGTAAAAGCCAGAGCACTTTAGCATGGTTCACAGTCGCTCTCAATCCCTCAACACTGTTTCTTTGGAATGAAAGGTTATCCGGTGGGAATCCTTCCTAATAATTAGCTCTGCTTTCGAGAGTTGGTTAATTAATGTTAAAGAACAAACATTCATTTGGGCTGCCGTTACACTGAAGAGTTGCAGCATGCTGTGACTTATTTTAATCCAGATTTTCAAGCTACCAGAAAGTGCATTGAAGTTCCGACTCCTGCAGGAAACGTGTTTCACGTTCCTTCATGGAATCTTGAAAACTTGGAATGGCAAACGTGTGTTAGAGACGTTGAAGGAGTAAATCCCCGTGATTCTGATGTTTGCTGTTAGATGATGGAAACTTTACTTATACATCCTTCTACCATGTCCATGAAGTTTATGTTTGCCTTTCATTCCTCTTTGTATTTGCTTTAGAGGGACCCCCCCCCCCCCCCCCCCACACACACACACACACACCAGCATCTCGCCTCTCTGTTTTCCTTCTCTCTTCTCTCCTGCTCTGTGTGTTTAACGTGATTACTCTTTTCCTCAGAGGGGAGCTCATGAGATCCGAGAGATTCGACAGTTTCACTTCACCGGCTGGCCGGACCACGGTGTGCCCTACCACGCTTCGGGTCTGCTGGGGTTCATTAGGAGGGTCAAGTCCAAAACTCTGACCAATGCTGGTCCGATGGTGGTTCACTGCAGGTTTGTGTGCAAGAGCTCTCTGTCTTCTGGCAATAGCTGTCCGTTTTATCATGTTCAAACCTGCTCATTCAAGGGTTTCTTACAGAGACAGACAGCTCAATTGAATCCAGGATGAATTGTTGGTTGGATGAGTGAATGGATGGATGGATGCAAATATAGATAGATGGATGAGTGAGTGAGTGAGTGAGTGAGTGAGTGAGTGAGTGAGTGAGTGAGTGAGTGAGTGAGTGAGTGAGTGAGTGAGTGAGTGAGTGAGTGAATGCTTGGATGATGCATGCATGCATGAATGCAAAGATGGATGGATGAATGCATGGAAGGATGGATTGGATGGATGGATGGTTGAATGGATGCAAAGATGGATGAATGCAAAGATAGATGGATATAAGGATAGATGGATTGTTGAATGAGTGAATGGATGGATGGATGGATGAGTGAATTGTTGGGAGGATGGATGGATGGTTGAATGAGTGGATGGATGGATGGATGGATGGATGGTTGAATGAGCGAATGGATGGATGGATGGATGAGTGAATGGCTGGATGATGGATGGATGTAAGGATGGATGGATGCATGGTTGGTTGGATGATAGATGGATGTAAGGATGGATGGATGCATGGTTGGTTGGATGATAGATGGATGTAAGGATGGATTGATGCATGGTTGGTTGGATGATAGATGGATGTAAGGATGGATGGATGGATGGATGGATGGATGGATGAGTGAATTGTTGGAGGATGGATGGATGGTTGAATGAGCGAATGGATGGATGGATGGATGGATGAGTGAATGGCTGGATGATGGATGGATGTAAGGATGGATGGATGCATGGTTGGTTGGATGATAGATGGATGTAAGGATGGATTGATGCATTGTTGGTTGGATGATAGATGGATGTAAGGATGGATGGATGGATGAGTGAATAGTTGGAGGATGGATTGATGGATAGATGGATGGTTGAATGAGTGAATGGATGGATGATGGATGGATGTAAGGATGGTTGGATGAGTGAATAGATGGATGGATGGATGGATGGATGGATGATAGATTGATGAATGGATGGATGGATGGGTGGGTGGGTGGATTTATGGACTGATGGATGGTTGGTTGGATGATAGATTGATGGATGAATGGATGGTTGGATGGATGGGTGGATGGATGGGTGGGTGGATGGATGGATGGTTGAATGAGCGAATGGATGGATGGATGGATGAGTGAATGGCTGGATGATGGATGGATGTAAGGATGGATGGATGCATGGTTGGTTGGATGATAGATGGATGTAAGGATGGATGGATGCATGGTTGGTTGGATGATAGATGGATGTAAGGATGGATTGATGCATGGTTGGTTGGATGATAGATGGATGTAAGGATGGATGGATGGATGAGTGAATTGTTGGAGGATGGATGGATGGTTGAATGAGCGAATGGATGGATGGATGGATGGATGAGTGAATGGCTGGATGATGGATGGATGTAAGGATGGATGGATGCATGGTTGGTTGGATGATAGATGGATGTAAGGATGGATTGATGCATTGTTGGTTGGATGATAGATGGATGTAAGGATGGATGGATGGATGAGTGAATAGTTGGAGGATGGATGGATGTATAGATGGATGGTTGAATGAGTGAATGGATGGATGATGGATGGATGTAAGGATGGTTGGATGAGTGAATAGATGGATGGATGGATGGATGGATGATAGATTGATGGATGGATGGATGGATGGATGGGTGGGTGGGTGGATTTATGGACTGATGGATGGTTGGTTGGATGATAGATTGATGGATGAATGGATGGTTGGATGGATGGGTGGGTGGATGGGTGGGTGGATGGATGGATGGTTGAATGAGCGAATGGATGGATGGATGGATGAGTGAATGGCTGGATGATGGATGGATGTAAGGATGGATGGATGCATGGTTGGTTGGATGATAGATGGATGTAAGGATGGATGGATGCATGGTTGGTTGGATGATAGATGGATGTAAGGATGGATTGATGCATGGTTGGTTGGATGATAGATGGATGTAAGGATGGATGGATGGATGGATGGATGGATGAGTGAATTGTTGGAGGATGGATGGATGGTTGAATGAGCGAATGGATGGATGGATGGATGGATGGATGAGTGAATGGCTGGATGATGGATGGATGTAAGGATGGATGGATGCATGGTTGGTTGGATGATAGATGGATGTAAGGATGGATTGATGCATTGTTGGTTGGATGATAGATGGATGTAAGGATGGATGGATGGATGAGTGAATAGTTGGAGGATGGATGGATGGATAGATGGATGGTTGAATGAGTGAATGGATGGATGGATGGATGAATGAATGGCTGGATGATGGATGGATGTAAGGATGGTTGGATGAGTGAATAGATGGATGGATGGATGGATGGATGATAGATTGATGGATGGATGGATGGATGGGTGGGTGGGTGGATTTATGGACTGATGGATGGTTGGTTGGATGATAGATTGATGGATGAATGGATGGTTGGATGGATGGGTGGGTGGGTGGATGGGTGGGTGGATGGATGGATGGATGGATGGATGGACTGATGGGTGGATGGATGGGTGGATGGATGGATGGATGGATGGATGGATGGAGTTAGCTCTAAGGGTGCAACACCATCTAGAGAAACTGGATGTAAGTAGTTGATGATGGGTATATAGACCAGCATGTTGACCATGATATGAGTTGCTGTAGGTTTTATTCTCACATGATGTTGCTCAGCAGATCAATGCCTCCATGTTCTCAGATGTTTTCTGTGTTTAGCTCCCTGAAAATCCCATAAAGACCCATTTACATCACTAAACATTAATATCACTTCCTATGCCGGCCTTAGAACTGTGCAGAACCAGATGTTTCCATGCCTCTTTAATTGGAGGAAACAGCATTCATGATTTCAAAACAGAATATCAAATTCCGACTTGTCAGACCAGATAGCATATTTCTATTTTGCCTCAACCTGTTTCCCCTCAGCTCAGCACCAAAGGAGGATGCAGTATTTCTGGAGTTTCTTCTTCTTTACCCACATTTGTGGATGCAGCAACAAACAGTTCTCGCTGACATAGATTTTCTAAAGTGTTGCTGAGCCCATGCAGTGATTCCCACAACAAAATCATGCCAGGTTTTTTTTTCTTCCTCTGTGTTGCCTTAGGTCCTGAAGATCAGAACCGTTCAGTATTGGTTTTCAGTTTAGTCCCGAGCGTGTAAAGATTTCTGTGGATTCACCCAACTTTGTATTGACATTTTAGTAGCATAGAGGATGTTTCCTGAGTTCCTTAAAGTTTCACTTTGAGAAAATTGTTGGCGTTTTCTTTTTTGTCATGCTCAGAGTGGTGAACTCCTCTTTATCTTTGCTTCTGACCCACTCATCACTGGGAGGCTGGTATTATACCGAATCATATTTCTGACTTGTCAGCTTGTCAGAAGTTGGATTTTTTTTTAAGTATCACAGATCCTTTCTATTTTATTTCCAATTTTTCCTGAATTAGATTCAGGAAATAAATAATTAAGGGTAAAATATGTACGAATTCCACAGTGAAATAATCAAAACAGTCTAATGTCTCAATCATGTTGAAAGGAAAGTTGCATTAAAACAGAATTCATTCTCAGCCAGCTGGGACGTTGTTATTTTTTCTCCCTGCAAAATAGCCAAAGAGGGACGTAGTCATTGTTTAAAATCTGTGAGCCCTCAGGGTTGACGACCTTGTGCAAGCTAATGCTGCGCGGTCGGCATTTGTAGTTTGACATTGGCCGGCTAAATGCAAGCAGCATTTAGTATAGACCCTAAGCCCGTAACAGGAGCGACCCAGAAGTTATTTCGTGTACCTCTAAGAAGCCATGGCATCCTTTTGTTTTACTCTAATATCGGGTAAAGAAGGCTAACGTTGAGCTAACAATGCTAAAGGTGAATTAGAAGCAAAGAGTCAGCTCTGAAAATATCTCAAGGTACTTTTCAATTAATAGCAAATAAGCACCTTCTAGAGTCCTTGAACCCCCCAAGGCACTTTACAACACAATCAGTCATTCACCCATTCACACATACATTCATTCCCTGGTGGTAATGAATAATGTAGCTACAGCTGCCCTGGGGAGCACTGACAGAGGCGCAGCTGCCACCATAGGCGCCACCGGTCCCTCCGACCACCACCAGCAGGCAATGTGGGTTAAGTGCCTTGACCAAGGACACAACAGCAGCATTCTCTACTTGGAGCTGGACTTGATCCTGAGCTAACAATGCTAACAGTAAATTAGAAAAAATAGTCAGCTCAAAAAAATATGTCAAGGTACTTTAGCAATGACAACTCAATATTACAGTAAAATTAAACGCGTGTACTTACTTACGTGTCAACTTACCGTGTACGACTTGTCTTCACTTGTCATCTAGCATCCTCTGGTGCCGAGCCGTAGCTGGTAACAGCCATGAAACTCATACAAGAGTGACAACGTAACTTGTGTGTTTTAAAAATGTACTGCAGTACCTAAATTTGACCACATGATGTCAATCTTACTTCATCCTTACATGTTGCACCTAAAAAAATTGTAAATATTAAAAGTTTAAAATGCATAAGATGGAGCCTAAAATCTTCTATTTTGATTTGTTTGCATCAGTAATAAATCTGGTGCATGTGTGTGTGTTTGCCTGCAGCGCTGGAGCCGGTCGGACGGGCTGCTTCATCGTCATTGACATCATGCTGGACATGGCGGAGAGGGAAGGCGTGGTGGACATTTACAACTGCGTGAGGGAGCTGCGCTCGCGGAGGGTCAACATGGTCCAGACCGAGGTACGGCGACTCTGCTCTCTCTGTGTCTCCAGCAGAACCAGACTGGGGAGGGCAGATTGTGGATGGAGTCGTATGCAGAATGGATTCCTCCCATTATCGTCTAAAATGCAACATAATATAAATTTTCACTGGGAGCCACATTTTTCAAACTGGTTTGAGAACAATTGTATTTTTACCTTTAAATGATGAAAACAGGACTGCAACTTTTATTACATGCTAAGTCATCATTCCCACCTTCTTTTCTACTTTTAATGGCCATTCTTTACCAAATACATTTATTAAACTGTGCACAGAACTATTCCCCCAAAGGTGCGTCGCACAAGTGTTTGGCAGCATGAGCAGCAGTAACAGGACTTGAGGCTTGGAACAGGAAGGATTTAGTTCATATCGCTGACTGAAAACATTCCTGGCTCGTATTCCAGCTTTGTTCTGGTGAGGACAACCTGACGACATTTCCTGAACGCGGCCATCTGGAGATGTCTGCGGTGTTGCTGAACGCATCATTTGCCCGTAATTCTTTTTAAATCACAAGCATCATTGGACTTAATGGACAAATGTTTCATCGCTGACGTCCGAATGGGGGATTTGAACAACTGGAGACCAAACATTGAGTCATTTTCCTGAAGTTCAGTGACCTTCAGAGTGTGTTTGTGTGTGTGTATGCGTGGTTTCCCTCGCAGGTGTTCAGGCTCGTTGGCGCGGCTCCTCAGCTCATGGAGCACAAACCAACTCTCCAAAAGCCCGTGCATAAAAATGTACTGCTTTGTTGTTTATTGTTTACAAGCTCAGATGAGATCCATCATCCTGTAGACCGAAAGACAGCCGACCTCCTGACCCTGCAGACCTCAGACTTGGTTCAATCTGTGCCAAACAAAAAACAAATGGCAGAACATGTTTCTGTTTGCATCTGTAAATCAGTGACCCCTGTGTGTACAGATTTTGGTACAAAGTGACAAGGAAGTGTCAGCTGAAAATGTCACTTCAGAATAGATTTGCATCAAGCTTCAATCTGTGTCAGCATCTCCAACGCTTGACTGATTGACTTGAGGAGGAGGAAATGGGTTTTGATTCTTCACTTTGATCTATTTGATGATGTTTTTGATCATTTTCAAGCACGAGTCTGTTTATGACCTGATTATTGCCACACTTACTGACCTAATCGGGATGCTCAGGTTGGATCAGATTCTTAAAGAAAACAGGAAAAGCTTAAAGGATAATCAGAAAATTCTTTACAAATATCATTACAATGACATGGCAGATATTTTTACACATTAAATCAGTTTTGAATCAAGAAAAATGCAACAATATGTAACATAACCTTTGAGCATAGACAATGACAAATATTAGTCATAAAAAAAGGCCAAAGGGGTAAAAAGAAAGCACGGCGAAGACAGGAAAAGGTCATGGAAATCTTCTTGTTTCGTCTTTTCTCTGCTGATGGTGGAATGTGTTTTTATTTTTAATGTTGAGAAGTAAAAGATGTCTGACAGATTCGCAATGAGGATGCTGTTTTTTTCAGGAGCAGTATGTCTTTATCCACGATGCCATTCTGGAGGCCTGTCTTTGCGGCGACACCACCATCCCCGCCAGCCAGCTCCGCTCCGTCTACTACGACATGAACCGCCTGGACCCGCAGACCAACTCCAGTCCCATTAAGGAGGAGTTCAGGGTGAGCAGATATCTTAATGTGATAAAATATGTAAACAGTGTGTGCAAAAGCTTATTAAGTCAAACCTCTCTAATGCATGTTAGTGCCTGTTGCTCTCCTGATGAATGGCATAGCCCCCTTCTGGGCCAATCAGGAGCAAACATAATCTTGTGCATTAATATGTAGCACCACCACCCCACTGGGGCAAAGAGTGTTGCTGGAGTCGCATCATTCCCTGAAGTTTCATCACAGTAACATCAGGGGAGTCAGCGCGATCGCTAATGTAGCTGATTAAAGAATTGCATTGTTAATTACCATAGTGGGAGATAATTAGACACCAGCGCCTACCTCCCTGTTTCGATATGACAGCATGTGTTCTGCTCCGACCCGACAGACTCTAAATATGGTGACTCCCACGCTGCGGGTGGAGGATTGCAGCATCGCCCTGCTACCTCGCAACCACGAGAAGAACCGCTGCATGGATGTCCTGCCACCAGACCGCTGCCTCCCATTTCTGATCACCATCGATGGGGAGAGCTCCAACTACATCAACGCCGCACTCATGGACGTAAGAGTCAAGCACACCAATCAGACCATTTGGGCTGAATGCATCAACTTAAGTTTTGGGAAGTAAAATGAGACGTTCCCACATGTTGTTTCCTGTCAATCACTAGTCACTGATGTAAAAGCTCCCGTTTTGTATTTGGCAGTTAGTAATGATGTTCTGCACAGTGAGGGAGTGATTACGCAGGTAAACAAGATCCTATAAATAACAATAAACCCATTGTAGTGTGACTGTCAAACACTTTATACATATATGTATGTATATATACATATATACATATGTATGTATGTATATATATGTATATATATATATATGTACATATATATATATATACAATATATATACATACATATACATATATATATATATATATATATATATATATATATATATATATATATATATATATATACGCCTGTCCAACTACTTAATGCAAATGACTAATCAGCCAACCACATGGTGGCAACTCAGTGCATTTAGGCATGTTGACATGGTCAAGACGATCCGCTGCAGCTCAAACCGAGCTTCAGAATGGGACAGAAAGGTGACTTTGAACGTGGTATGGGCGTTGATGCCAGACAGGCTGGTCTGAGTTTTTCAGAAACTGCTGATCTTATGGTATTGTCATGCACAACCATCCCTAGGGGATTACAGAGAATGGTCCGAAAAAGGGAAAACATCCAGTGAGCAGCGAGTTCTGTGGGCGAAAATCCCTTGTTGATGCCAGAGGTCCGAGGAGAATGGCCAGACAGGTTTGAGCTGATAGAAAGGCAACAGTAACTCAAATAACCTCTTGTTGCAGCCAAGGTTATGCAGAAGAGCATCTCTGAACGCACAACACGTTGAGCCTTGAGACAGGTGTGGGGGACATTTTCTTGGCATACTTTGGGCCCCTTAGTACTGATTGATCATCGTTGCGTCACCACAACCTACCTGAGTATTGTTGCTGACCATGTCCATCCTTTAATTGCACCCCAGGGCAGCTGTAGCTACATCGTAGCTCATCCCCACCGGCATGTGAATGGGTGAACGACTGGTTGTGTTGTGAAGCACCTTGGAGGATTGTAGAACCTTAAGAAGGTACTATACCAATACAAATACAGTGTACCCATCGTCTGATGGCTACTTCCAGCAGGATAATGCTCCATGTCATAAAGCTCAAATAATCTCAGACTGGACTCTTGAACATGATGAGTTCACTGTGCTCAAATGGCCTCCACAGTCAGCAGATCTCAATCCAATGAAGCTTCTTTGGGATGTGGTGGAACAGGAGATTTGCACCATGGATGTACAGCCGACAAATCAGCAGCAACTGCTTGATGCTATCATGTCAATATGGACCAAGATCTCTGAGGAATGTTTCCAGGACTTTGTTGAATCTTTGCCATGAAGGGTTAAGGTAGTTCTGACTGATTTTTCTTGGTTCATGAATACACCATTGCCAAGCAACAATTATAACATCTGAAATGGAAAAAAAATGTACCCCAATTCAAAATAAAATTCTAATTAGCCTACATTTTCTAAAGAAAAACAAAGTATTTTATTGATTATCATTCTCTGAGATGAGTCCAGAGCAGAAAAACTCTGAAGTTCAGAACTGCCCAAGAATCAGAAATCAGTTTTTTCTCTCACTGATTCTCTTGGCTGCTCTCTACTGATTGCACAGAATTGCTGCACACAACCTCACTTGGATAATGAAAATGGCAACAAAGAACACCTTGACCGGGAATGTGTTCACTGATGAATCTCTTGGCTCCTGCCAGGAATTGGTCACTGACCTTTCAGGTACATCACTGCCTTTGTCGCCTAATGGAGCCACAATCTCCTTAAAAGTGCATTGCACCAATGTAATCTCCATAGATATGAAAACTCCATTAGGGATGGGTCAAAGGAAAGTATCTAGTTTAGAAAAAGGCCCGATACTCACACTGCAGCCTACGATTTTCCAAGGAGTGCACTTGGTGGAGTTGCCTGTAAGGCTTCCAGTGCGTAGGAAACAAGTGAGCAAAAAAAACTTCAGAATTGGGACCGTGAGCATCACGTCATCAACAGCGACTTCCTAAATGGGGATGCTGGTCGCTGTTTGTGCTAATTTGCTGCTTGAAATGATGTTGAAACAAGTGATTAAACTGCTGTCATGTTGGGTCCAAAAGTACCGGTACAGTCAACAATCATCTTTAACAGACGTGTAAAGGGGCAGCAGAAGCTCAGGAGTGGGGGTGGGTTGTCCAATGATCTGAAGGTTGTAGGATCGATTCCAGGACAGAGACTTCTGCTGTTGTGTCCTTGGGCCTCGCCTCTTGTCAGTGAGCCCCAGGGCAGCTGTGGCTATGTTGTAGCTCATCACCACCAGGGTGAGAATGTGATTGACTGTGTTGTAATGCTCCTTGGGGGGGTTCTTGGACTCCAGAAGATCCAATACAGGCCATTTTTACCATTTTAATGCATCTTTTCAACAGAGAAACCTTTGATTGTGATCCTATACGAACACAATTGTAAAAGAGTCAATATGTCCATACTTAAACTTGATAATACGTTTTTTTGGAAAACACATTTGAGTAATTTCTTCGCCTTTTTCTCAAAATTCCCACACAGCAACGGGTTTTAGGTAACACTGTTCACCAGTCTGCACAGATGCAGGTGTAGTGCGAATCAAGGGTGCAAAAGGGGATGCACTTGTGGCACGCTGCACACTTGTACCACTGGATGGGAACACGCAACTGTGGGGGGGAATTGTGAGTACTGGGACTGAGTCATAATTCACATCTTTTTTTTTTGTTCTGCTTTTTCCTTTCTCCTCCAGAGTTACAAGCAACCCTCTGCGTTCATTGTGACCCAACACCCGCTGCCAAACACGGTGAAGGACTTCTGGAGACTGGTGTTGGACTACCACTGCACATCCATAGTGATGCTCAACGATGTGGACCCAGCTCAGGTAAATCAGACTAAATACATTTGCTCAGAGCCAACAATAACCCTCCAGGATTGTTGCAAGAAGTTGACTCACATATAACGTAGACTATTAATCACAAGTGTGTATAAACCCTGGGAAAGCACACACAGATATATCTGTTAGACATGCTATATATTTACCGTTTGAAATAAGGGAGATGCTGCAGAGAGGATGCCATGAAAGTGGAAGTAGGCCCCTGGAAGAGGCTCTCCAGATTTTGCAGCCCGAGGCTCTGTCATAACATCCGGGGATCAAAGCCTGAAGCCAGGCTGCTCCCCCCTCTACCAAAATCCCCTTTCCCTAGGTGACTTTACTGACTGACTGGTTAGAAGAGGCCTTTCATTCAATATTCTCACTGTAGCCGGCCCGTCAGGCAGCCAAGAAAGCAGCACAGGTGGGAATGGAGAGAGGGCGTGTAGACGGAGGAGAGGGAGATGGAGGTTTGCTATCTTCTCTATCCACATCTTTGCTGTTTTTATTTTTGCATTTGTTAAATTTGTCAAGTTTTGACAGGTTCTCAGAGGAAGCTGGAAAGTGGTGCATAAACAGCCACTGTTTGTGAGTTGGAGGAATAAAGCGAGTAGATGTTTGTACGTCCATCTTCTCGGGTTTTCTGCCTTGTTCATTTGCATTCCTCTGATGCAGAAGGGTCTGTTTTTTATCATTCCTCTGTTGTTTGCTAATGAGCGTGCAACTCTGCAGTAATGAGTGTGTCGGGTGTAGACGCTCTCCGCCTGCGTGTGCACTTCTGCTCTGGTTCAGAGCTGCATGGCCAGCGGTGTGCACAGGTGTGCGTTCTTAACTGGGCTTCCTTACCTGCTGAGCAAAAATTGGGGAGATTTCACTGCTCTTTTGAAACTCTCCCTGGGGGGTTATGCCTCTGTTTTTGGAGGAGTCCGTTACACCATCAACAACTTGGTTTTTGAACTTCCTCCTGCTTTAATTGCTGATGTTTTACTGAAGTCTATTGATGGATTTTTGATGTTCTGAGAAGAGGTATTTATTTCCACGCTGTTTGCAGAAGAAGGTGATACATCTTTGTTTATCGGTACAGCAAGTTGCAAAAAGAGGCAAAATCTCAGAATAGGTAAAGCTACAATGGCAAATTTGGAAAACAAATTAGCTTAAAACTTATTTCCATCCCTCTTAACAACATTCTAACATAGTATAACTGTAAATATATTGTGTTGATTTAAAAAATGAAAAAATGAAAAAAGTGGTTCTCTCTCATTTGTCGAAAAACCTCCACCAATAACAGAAAGTATCCACCGGCCTATCCGGATGTCGGTCTCGCCAAACCGCCTCGCTTTCCTGGGTCCTCCATTCATTACACACTCACGTATTTATCAACAGAACACCACTGGGGTGAGAGGGTCTCCGCTCAAGAATATCAGAAGACCAGAAAATTATTTAACACAAGTTTTATAGATATTTCTTGTGCTTTAGGTATTTATATTCTTCTTATTATTATTCTAATCTTTTTTCAGTCTTAATCTAACAAAATCCGCCCAATAATCTTCAGTTTTTTTAGCCATTTCCAAAGTAGAAATGTTCATCAATCTGAAACATGAAAACACTTTGATTGGCTTTTGGTAACAGAAAAAAGAATGAAAGTCATTACACTCAACATCAAAAGAGAAACATCTATTTGATTCTTTTTTATGTCTTGCTTTGATAAATCTATAAATCTTCCTTTTAAAAAATCACATTTAAGTTCCTTGGTGCTTGAATGCTTCATTATTTAAATGTATCTGAGAAACTGTGAAGAAAACTGCAAACGTGTCCCTTTATAGAAAGACGCGTAGGGGAGTCGTGTGTCTGACTACACCCTCTAAAATTAGCAAATCATCAAACCTGCCAAAGTCTTTATTCATAACTCATCAAACATTTGTTTTTAGCTATCTTCATTTAGCAAAACTGGAGTCCTGGTTAAAACAGTTAAAACAAATAAAAGCAACTGAATTGTTTTGATTTTACTTAAAGGCCAAGTTCACTGAGAAACAGTTATTTATTTATTTATTTTCTTTAATAATCGGTCACTCTGAGTTTCACATGCTGGCTGAACATGACAATAGTCTCCTACACCTTTCTCCTGCCTTAGCTTCTCAGTAAAGCCTGACAGATCTACGTCACGCTGTCACTGAACACTCATGGACTCAGCATCTAGGCTCACCGCGGGGACGGCTGAAACAGCAGGTAGTGTCTCCACAAGCAGAAGCTAACTGTTAGCATTAGCAGCTCCACCACACAGCAGAACTCCTCGGGGCTCGTGTTATTTGTGGAGATAAAACATCAACATTGCAGAACAAACAGAGTCAGCAGTAGAGTCGCGTTGCACTTAGTCAGTCAGAGGCGAGATGTTTGAATATAAAAAAAAGTCCTGTTGTCTGAAGTTCAACTCTGATCTGGCTCAGTTCTACTTCCTGAAACAGGAGAGTGAGAGCTTTTTCCCTAACAAAGATTGACTCACAGGACATTTATATATTTGTTTGATCCACAGCAAATAAGTTGAAAAAACAAGTGAACTTGGTCATTATTTTGTGTTTTTGGAACTAAAACTTGTGGAGACGGTGGCACAGGAGCACAAGCTCTCACTCCATAATCAGAAGGTTGCAGGTTCAAGCCCTGCTCAGTCTGTTGCTGTCACTGTGTCCATGGGCAAGGCAGTTAACCCACCTTGCCTGCTGGTGGTGGTCGGAAGGACCGGTGGCGCCAGCGTCCCACAGACTCGTCTCTGTCAGTGTGCTCCAAGGCAGCTGTGGCTACATCGTAACTCATCACCACCAGGGTGTGAATGTGTGTGTGAATGGGTGAATGACTGATTGTGTTGTAAAGCGCCTTGGGGGGTTCCAGGACTCTAGAAGGCACTATGTCAAATACAGGCCATTTTAAACTAATCATTTTATTTCTTTTGTGTGTGTGTGTGTGTGTGCGTGTGTGTGTGTGTGTGTGTGCGTGCGTGCGTGCGTGCGTGCGTGCGTGCGTGCGTGCGTGTGTGTGTGTGTGTGTGTGTGTGTTTTTTGTTCAGCTGTGTCCACAGTACTGGCCAGAAAATGGAGTCCATCGCCACGGCCCTATCCAGGTGGAGTTTGTCTCCGCTGACCTGGAGGAAGACATCATCAGCAGAATATTCCGGATCTACAATGCGGCTCGGGTACGGCAGCTCAGTAGGGCCACGCTGATGAAAATGTGACCTTGCTGACCCGTGGCTGTGGGCTGCTCTGATGGCCTCTTCTCTTTTTGAGCAGCTTTTTGTTTGTCTTCCTTGTTGTGATCACCGCAGCCAATTTCTCTTGTGACTGCACACTTCACACATCCCACACGTGTGGAGGCCTGTCCGCTCAGGCCTCGTTTTTGCCTTAACTCCACAGCTGCGCCGGTGATTGGACCGAGGTGTGATTGCCTCAAATCTTTTAGACAGCTTGAGAAATTTTCACCTGTAGTTAAAAAGGAAGAAATCAGAGTTTCACACCAATTTCTGGGAACATATAGTCTCTTTTTACCAAGTTAAGAGAGAAAAAAAAAAAAGCTTTTTTGATTAAACACAATAAGCGGATAAGTGAGGCACTGCATCCAAAAATTATGCTTCATTGTAAAATGATGGTTTGAAATTTTGGCTGCAATTTATTTTTCAAATATTTTTTGGTAAATTTTGTTATTCAAATATATTTTATGTGTTTTTTAATTAATCCTTTTGACTCAAAAAAAAGCAGGAACACAAGAGACAAGGTAAACGCGTGACATTCACCCTGAAACAGGCTTTGACAGAGTTTGGAACATTAAGTGTTTGTATTTAAACAAATTAAACGAGTTGAAATCGCATCTTTTGCGTTTCTTTTTTAGCCCCTTAGGCAGGACACTTGACTGTTTTTCACCAGAAGAGACATTTTTATGAATGAGAGGCTGAATAAAAGTTTAAAGTAAGATCCGTCTTAGGACAGCAACCAAGTTTTTCAAATGTGACCTCCCAGCTCAGACGGGTCAAGACCCCCCCCCCCCCCCCCCCCCCCCATGCTGACATCACCTGTGTAAGCTCTTTACTGCGATGGCCGATGGCTCCTTCTCTTATTAACACACTGTAATCTTATCTGGTCTGCAGAGGCGGCGTCATGTAAAGTACAAGACGTTTTAATCACATACGATCACTGTCGAGAGTTTCTGATCGATACATGTGTCTCCAGCAGCAGCTGTGCTCATCCATCACTCCGTCTTATCACCACAATCATCTCCTGAGTTACTCTTTGTCTGCTCTCAAACAGTCTTGTGTCTCTACTATCTGACTGCATCTGTGTGCAGCAGTGATTATCCCACCCTTTCCTCTGATATGTGTGTTGACACGCTTTAACCAGGGCATCCTTGTCCCCGCAGCCTCAGGACGGGTACCGGATGGTGCAGCAGTTCCAGTTCCTGGGTTGGCCCATGTACAGAGACACGCCCATGTCCAAACGCTCCTTCCTTAAGCTCATCCGACAGGTGGACAAGTGGCAGGAGGAGTATGACGGGGGTGAGGGACGCACTGTGGTCCACTGTCTGTAAGTTCCCACAACCACCAGCACCTCCATTAAAAATGAAACATCTCCACCTACTGACTGAAAGCTCTCACTGCAACAAAACTGCTCCTCATTGGCCACAAGTCCTTTTATGTTAAATCCAATGTTTCTGCAACTGCTGCAGGAACGGAGGCGGCCGCAGCGGGACTTTCTGTGCCATCAGCATTGTGTGTGAGATGCTCCAGCACCAGCACTCAGTGGATGTTTTTCATGCGGTCAAAACGCTGAGGAACAACAAACCCAACATGGTGGACCTACTGGTGAGGACCACTGTAGCAGATTATACTGGTTTGTTACACTAATCACCATGAGGTATCAGAGATAGGACACAGATATAGAAATCTGGCTTAAATTGTAAGATTTATTTATTTAATCAGAAAGTTCACAATTTTTTTTCAAATCAATCCTGAATTGTGTTTTTTTCTGACCAGAATTCAACCATTGATCACAAATATCAGTGAAAATGGTGATAATTATCACAATGAACCCTATAAATGTTAAAGAGTTACACCTGTGGATGTTTCTCAGACCTTTTGGAGGCTAATTTCCTCAGAGGCTATGTGATGGAAGAAGTTTAGTGACTTTTACTGATATTTATGAATATGATTGTTTGAACTTTTCATGACACAGGTTTGTTTCTGCGTTTCACTTTGAAAAAAGTCCCCCAAAATACTTAGAATAAAATTTTCCCAGCAGCACACTTCATTCTTTTATCCCTTAACTCTATAAATAAAAGCTAAAGGACATTTTACATTTTCTTTTCTCAAGTATGTTGACAATTAGACTTTTATTAAAGGGACTGTAAGGAAGTTTGAAGTTCTTACGCTCGCGATCGCCACTCAGGCCTAACGCGTAACTGCAGCTTCAAAAGTAAGCTCCTGCATGAGGTGCGCATGCTGTACGTGCACACTCCTTAACGAAAATAACAGCTGAGACAGTCCCGTGTGTGTGTGGGGGGGGGGGACAGAGGACAGGAGAACGCGCAGCTAATTAATTAAATAAGTTGGTTCTGTACCTTTCTCTTCAGCACAGCCGACAAAGGTTTATGATGGGTCAGTCCTCCTGCATGCTCAGGTCATTCCCTTCCCTTGCTTGAAAAATTGTTCCAAAATGAAAGTTGAACCCACATCTTTTTTATCTGTGAATTCAGTGCCGTTCGGCAAGTCTCAAAAAAAATTTTGGGCATCTTACTGTAAAAAATATATCATTAATGTAAAAAAGAAACTCCAAATAACAAATTACATTCACACCTGGAATTGTACGCGGGTCATTTGCATGACAGACATCTTACTAGGTGAGCTAAAGCACCAGCGACAGTGAATCTATCTGTAAAGTTTATATCCTTGATGACAGCTTAAACAACGTCAATCCAAAGAACAGTTCGGAGTGAAAATGGCTATTTTGTTGCTAATTTGCAGGAAATATCTAGAAGAAAGTTATACGGAAAGTAGCTAAGGGTCCTCAGAAATGTAGCTAGATTTGTCACTAGGTGTTAGGAACAGCGACAAAGTCGCTGAGTTGGCACTACCTCACTCTCTGCTGCTAAAGCTACGGATAGCAAATGCTACGGGCGATGCCTGAGCGTGAACGCGCATGAAGCAGCCTGCTCGACCCGAGCATCTCTCTTTTTCTGTGATTTTACAGAAAAACAAGCAATCACAGTAAAAATGACAGGGCTCATTCTACAGGACCAGGGCATTGCAGGAGAATGTATGAAGAAGACATTTATTATTTCTATACATGTTTTGACTGTCAAACTTCCTTATAGTCCCTTTAACAATGATTTCTGGAAGGTTATTTCTAAAATCCACTTTAGATGTGGATGAATTGTTCTCGTGTTTTTAAAAAATCTGACTTGAGAATTTGGCCAACTTTTTTATTTTATTATTGTAACCTTGTTCCTTGTGCAAAGCTGTTAAAAACAGAATTAAAGACAGTTCAGGTAGTCTGAAATGTCAGGATCTGAGCAGTTTCTCTACTGCAGCGACAATGCAATCAGCTGCTGATCAGGGACACTGTTCTCGGCTCTGAGCTGGATTTTATTAAGTAGACGAGTGAATAACGTTTCTTCTGGCTGCTTAATGCTGGTTTTATAGAATTTAAGTTATAATTTGATCATGTTGCTTTGGTACACAAGAATATTTGGTCAAAAATATGTTTATTCTATATTTAAGTGAGATTTAATCCCTTTTCACTCTCGGATATTGGTCAAATTTAGGCATGCCCAATATAAACAGCCTACCATTAATATCGAGACGGAAGATATGCTGGCTCTGTCCTCTCAGCCGTTGTGACTCCATGCGACAGGACTTTGCAAAGACATCAGCATGTTGCGATCATTTCACCAGTGAGTGATGTCACTAATCAGCGCCAAAAGGCGCCCATGGACATAAATAACATAAAAAATTATTTATCAAGATACGCCGTAATTTATGACCTGAGCGGGACCGGGAGAGCAGCTGTGCAACGTAAAAAGTGGAGTTCAGTGACCAGAAGAGGCGCTGTTTTCACAGCCTATTTATTTGTTTATTTATTTATGCAGGAGACTAGAAAGCAGCGTAAATCGCACTGTTGTGGGGGGATATCCGCCACATTTTTCATCATTGGGATTTTAGAAACGGCGATCTTAAAGCAGCAAGAATGCTGCTTATTTTATTTTCTTTCCATTGAGCTTCATCAGAAACTTTTCCAACTATACACATGCCGGTTGTTTGGCGACATCTGAAATCATTTTCACGAGTTCATGAGTTACAACCAATTAGCATGAGTTAATCACAAGTCCCGCCCAGCCGCTTTACCAGGCCTTCCTCTGGTTCCGGCATTATGTTGGTCCCTGATGAGGCCCAGGAATTGGTCCTTTTGGGCCGGCCTGGTGAAATGGAGACATGCGCATGCATGATCCGGTAAAATTCCCTGAATGCTCCGACAGTGAAAACAGGCTTTATGTCCCTAAAACAAGCCGTTTTTTTTAAAGTCCCTGTGGATGACGTCAACAATGAAAAAATTTCAACAGAACCACCTTTCACATTCAAAAGGACATATCGGAGTTTCTCAGCTTATTGCAGTCTGAGCAGGGAGAGGTGGGCGTGGCCAGCTCGTGATGTGCCCTTATCTGTTTTTGTTCTAGATGTTTTGTGTGTTTAATGTTGGTCAGGCCTACTGCGGAGACAAATGTCTATGCCTCAGGGCGCTGGGGCCTTGACAGTAAAGTTCATTCTGATTCTCCATCTTGTTTTTGTAAAATGACAGAACCCTGAATCGGCTCATTCTGGAAGGTACTGAAAATGTCAGGACTAAATTAGCTGAAATAGCCTTATGGGAGAAGGATTTAGTGTAAAGAACCTCTTGCACATGTTTTGTATTGACCTTAGAGCTATTATAACTTTTTATAAAGTCACACGTACCCTTTAAAATGTACTGATCACACTTCCTGTTTGTCTCCATGCACGTTTCAGGACCAGTACAAGTTCTGCTACGAAGTGGCGCTGGAGTATTTGAACTCTGGGTAACGTGGAGCTTCTGTGTTTGCCTGGAATGACAAGTTTGGGGCAGAATGAATGACTGCGGCTCACATGTGTGCATTATGTTAAAAGGGTTACCAAGCCAATGGGAGGCGGCACACAGGACCCTACGTGCAGTTCCCCTCCTTCTGACCAGCCCTCCTTTTACCTTCATGGTCTGAACAGAGGAAGGTAGCAGGAGTTGTACAGTGCTTTTATTTTTCTGGCTAACAAAACTCAAAAAGAGCACAAGGAGTTTCTTTCTTTCCTGGATCCCCCTCTCTCTTCCTGCCTCCATCAGCTGCCTGCCTGTCTCATTGGTCGTTGCCTTGATCCTCATCAAACGGCAAGCGTCCGGCGCTCTTCACTTCCTCGTGGAATGCACACCACTGTACATATTTTAACGTGCTCATTTCTGTTTTGCTGAACTAATTGTTGAAGGTCATGAGATTCAGGAAGCTTAAATGTTCTGTGATTTTTCAGACTTTTACGACGACTCAGCTTCATGCCGCGGGAAACGCATCCGCTTACCTTCTGTCCTGTTCGGGGATCCAAAGCTTTATTTGCACTTCCATTTAATTCTTGTTGTGCATATTGTAAATATGTCTGTAGATTATTTATTTGCTGTATTTGTACTTTCTTTGTGACTTGCAGTAAGTGACAATCATATGTTCGATAGGTTTGGTTTATTGAGTGTATTATGTGCTTTTTGAGTCATCTAATACGACAAAGAAAATCAATTGTAAAGAAAAAAAGGATATATATATAAATGTATCTTCAATATAAACACTGGGTTAAGTGTCTGTGCCTTGTCTGAATGAACCCGGGAGAGATGGGGACACCTACTGGACACAAAGGAATCTACAGTACATTGCCAAAATACTGATTCTGGATAAACTTTAACTCATTTTAAAATCTATTGATGTGATTTAAATTCTCACTCTTGAACTGTAAGAGTTTAAGGGAACCAATCTTAATAAAGATTTTTACCAGTTAATTGTCATCTAGGTAAAATTAATCTTTGTGCAGAACAAAATTAAAATTGAGGAGTATCGATGCAAATATTTTAGGCTTTTAAGCTAATTTAATTTGCTTTTATGTTTGTTTTATGTTGTCAAAATGATTTTTCTTTTAAATCCAAGTTTGTTTGAGTAAAGGTTTGTGGTATAGTTTCTGATTTTCTGTCAAAAAGGAAAATTAAACAAATACAGAAACGTTTTTTAATGACAGGAATTTCGTTATCTGGAAAATAACATTGATGGTGTGTTTGGTGAGATTTTCCCCCAATGGTGGTCATGGAAAACACTGATGGAACCATGGACGTAGTTTTGACTTTAGAAGTGGAGGGACATGTCCTACCTGTCTCCCCACCACAAAACTGCATCCATGGATGGAACCATACCGATTTTGAGGAAAGGAAAAGATAAATAAAGGTAAGATTATTCGTGTAATTTTTGCATGTACATCGATTTTACTATTTAGAATAATATTTTCTTTATCCCAACTCTCCTTGGAACCAAAATACGGCAACATCTGCTAGAGGAAGCATAATTACATTTATTTGGGTCAGGTAAAAACTAAAAACCATTCGAGATTATTTCATGGAATCCCTGCTGGTACATGTGCATCTGCAAATTCTAACAGTTTATTCAGTAGATTAAATCAGTTTGATACGGAACAGGATTAGCATTGACGAAAGGATTCTGACTTTAATCTCAAAGTCAAAAAAGTCAGATTTTTTTCCTCTTTCTTTTCAAAGGCCCTAATCCTCCTCCGTAGCACGAAACAGTAGGGAATGACGCAAAAATGAGTGTGCAGGAATATCAGCCTAGGAATTGTTTACCTTCTGAATTATTTACAAACCAACTCGTGACCATTATGAGTTTATATTGTGGGACTCAGCTGAGCCGTGTGAGCATCGTCAAATAAAGAGGAGAGAGGGTGTAATCTAGATCAAACGACCCTCTCTAAGGTCTCCGACAGCATTAAACTTTCAACACTTCTTCCTGAGGAGACATGTCAGGACTTTTCAGTCTCTGCCCCGTGTTTGTTTGGTAGAATATTATATAATCCGTACAAACAAGCCCGTTCCCAACACCTTCCATTATTAATGGAGTGATGTATGGCTGCTTCCTCGTCCTGCACCTGGTCTGAGGGGTTACAGTGATGAGGGATGTGAAATCGCAACTCCGATTCTTTTGCAGGCTCCATCCAACTAGCATAAGGTAATATAAAGATATTTGACAAACATTCACCCTCCTTTCACTTAACAGTTTCATCCCACTTTTCCCTGCAGATTTGTCAAGCATCAAGTTTGTTGGAACAAATCCGATCTTTATTTTTTTCAGCCAGATTCATTGTTGGGAGTTTGCAGCCACCAGGATAAGTTGGTTTCATCAGTGTGAGTTAAGGTTCTGACACCCGTAGTTCTGGAGACACACACTCAGATCATGTGAAAGGGTATAATTAACCTTTGACCTAATGTTAGTCTGAATCACTGGTGTTTAAACTATCGACCGGAAAGGAGCGTTGTCGCAGTTTCAGAGATGGCATCTTTGCAGCAGGTGCAGTAAATGTCTCCATGGTTTAACCAGGTTTTTAGGTCATTGTTGGCTCACTCTTTAAAATGTTTTCACAACTTTTTGACTTACAGGGTGATTCATCCATCCAACCTTTGCATCCACTTATCCAGGGTCGGCTCTTGTGGGGCAGCAGCCTCAGCAGAGAGGCCCAGACTTCCCTCTCTCCAACCACTTGGGCCAGCTACTCTGGAGGAATCCCAAGATGTTCCCTGGCCAGCCAAAAGACATATGACACCTACACATTAGCGTCGGCACGGTTGAGGTTTGGTCGGGCTGGATGGCGTGAGTTTGGTCTCGAACGGGCATGTAGTGTTCACATATAAATCCGAGGGACTTCTCACGGATTGGGGTTTGTCCTCAGTAATGAGTCTGTTATGGTGAACTGAGTTAAAAAGCGAAGCTCTCAGGTTACTGCTCCGTCTACGTTCCAACCCTCGCCTGTGGCCATGACAAGTGGATCATGACCAAAACGAGTTCCCAGATGGAAGCAGCCACATTGCCTTTGCTCCATGGAGTGGGCTCAGGGGTAGAGATAACGTGAGGATCTCCATCATCTGAAGGAAGCCTGTTTTAAAGGAAGTCCACTTGTTTTGTTGGATCTGGTTTGGATGCTTTCTAGTTGCTGCCCTCTGGATGTTTTCCAGGCAAATCCCACTGAAATGAGATACCCTGAGGTATCACAGATCCTCTCTGGCCTGAAAACACCTTGGTACTACCACAGATATCATATATTAACTAGATCCCCTAACTGGGAGTTGACAGTGTCCTTACACGGCGGACATCTTACTTCGGACAGCTAACCGTTCTCTAGCTGAGGGTGAGTGCACGGCTCAAATAAAAATATTTATAACTCGAAGAAATATTAACAGATTTACAAACGGTTTGCCTTATTACAAACCGTGTGATACATAAACTTGGTGCGGGATACTTACACATGTTGAAATTACTGCTATTACTTTTGAAACACAACATAATTGTGAACAATGTGCCCCGGCTAAGCTATTTTGCGCGTTAGGTTGAGAGAGAGACCACAGTCATTATTTTTATAGGGTTCGTATGGTTCAACGAAACTAAGAAGTGTACGTAAACCCAATGTTTGTCTAAATGGCTGTCTCGGTGGATGTTTTAGTGTTTATTAGCTGTCTGACTTGGCTTAGAGAAGACGAGGCTGCCGTGGCTGCGCCGCTTACCTACAATGTTTTACCTCAGTGGAAGCTGAGGGGAAAATTGCCCTTTTTTTCCAGGCAGCTTACTTTGTTAAAAAAAATGTAAAAAACTTAGACTGAAGTATATTAAAATAGCGGAAATTGCTGGATTTGTTTTTACAGAAATACACGAGAAACAACCTGACTTTTGTGCTGCCTATGGATGCGCTAATAGACGATGTCTTCAATCACGACAACGTGGGATCTCCTTTCATTCGTAAGATTTAACAATAACAAACATTCAACTGTGTTAGGCTGATAAGTCTCTGTGATCTGCTTTGCCTTTAACTGCTTTTTATAAATAACAGTGACGGCAAAGTTTAAGATCTATCAGCTAACTGTGCTTTTAAAAATTTTAATTGCTTGAATTCAAGACTTCTTGGTTAACCAATCATTGCATGTTTCTGTCTTGACACCTTTTGTTTAACTATTGTTTGTCTTATGTTCATGTTAAAGGAAAAGGCTGTAAACTATTTACAATGATTTATAAAGCTGCTTACATTTTGTCGCTTGTTTAAGATTTCCCAAAGATGGAGAAAGGAGGCGGTGGGAAGTTGCCCTAAGAAGTGTCTGCGATCTTCCTCAGAGCTGACGCTCAGCGGCGTCACGATCAAAACTGTCAGCAAGGTAAAAAACCTTCCCCGTGTTTCAAAAAGAACCTAAAAATGCAGTCAGAAGAAAAACAAAAGATGTTTGTAGTCTTTTGAAAAACTGCTGGCTTATCAAATCCCCCTGATAAATAAATACAACGAATAAATTCCACACTTACTAATCATGATTACTTGTTTGTCTTCAGGTAGTCAAACTATGGTTCTTGTCTGATTTCTCTCCTGACATCATGTTGTTCTATAGGCCTATGTAAAGTATGAAGGCAACCACACTGTCCAGTTACTTTGGTAATTGTAATTTCAGGATTTGTTGAGCGGCGAGCCATGACCAAGCTGTCCTGTGATGTCTGCCGTGCCAGCCTAGTGATGGATGCTGCATCTGCCCGTGATGACCACAGCTGCCATTTTCTGACTCTGAAGAACAACGGGGGTCTTGTGGTCCCCTCTGAAGGTACTGTGAGGGTCATCAGAGCAGCAGAGTGGGCAATTCGCCAGGCAGCAGTGGGCAGACGATCACAGCCCATCAAACCACTGGAGGTCGTCTACAAGAGGATCGGGTCAGAGGATGTCTTTTTGCTTGGGGAGCACATCAGTGAGACAGAACGGAATTGAGTCTCACTCCCATACACTGTTGACATCTATTGTCTCCCTGTTCTTTAAGCTGAGGATGCACCACATTGCAAGATTAGCAACTCTTAGCTTTCAGTGTGACAGCGTGAGACAGAAGCTCGCACAAGCTGTCCTTTTCAAAGGTCAGTAGGAAACCACAATGTGCTTTAGCATCTGTCTGTAGATCTGTTATTTTTATTATCAAAAACATGTATAATCTGTAATAAACAAGTTTTTCATAACTGTCAGTCTGTCATTCATTTACTCTTTAATTTCTTAAGTTTTTATTTAGCCCTTTACTTTAACTCACAATTATCCCAGTTTTCTCTTCTCAAACTTTCATTTTAAATGGGTTGCAGGCTGAAAGTGGAAATAAATATAAATTATTATAATAACTTGCCAAAGCAGGTATATATTAGGTTCATATTACTTGCAAATATTAAAGTCAAAGTAAATAAAATATATTCTGTGTATCTTCATTTGTCTTTTTATAAAATATTTTCTCAGTCATTGAGGTTGTTTTGTTTTTTGAACTGGGTGTTTTTACTTTAAATTTGGTTTGCTGTTCCTGCGTATTTATTTATTTATTTTGTTTTACTATTTTCTGTAAATTAAATCAGGTATTTTAGTTTTTATAAGTTGATACGTTTATAAGTTGATATGGAAAGTTATAAGGTATATTAAAACTTATATTTATAAGTTGACCTCAGTTTACAAACTACAGCTAGTTCATCAGGAGCAGATCTTGTTGACATTAAAACGGTAAGTCTATGGGAAATTGACAGGATAGGGGAAAACGGCTGGAAAGTGGAGTGGAATAAGGGGAGTTTCCTGCCAAAACTGATATATTTCATAACCACGTCTGTAATGTTTCTAAAAAATCGAACCGTATGAAAATCAGTTGAAAATTGAGAATGTTAAGAGTTGTTTAAATAGTGCATGCACCACTAAACACCAGTGTTAGAGGGGGCAGCTGTCCGAAGTAAGATGGCCGCCACG